CTTCGTGCCCGCTTCTTTTCAATAACTCGTCAATTTTATAAATATCTTCAGTTTCTGTCTTTTTAATCAATTTTGATAAGTCGTCCTTTTTCAGCTTATCATCGAAAACCACGTCGTGTCGTCGTAACCATGTTTGCATAACTGCCTTGGTAGAAGCCATAGTCGGCTTTTTTTCTTCTCGAACCGAATGGTAAGCTGCGTTATCCATCACGATGACGGAATTTGGTGGTATATTGGGCATTAGCTTTTCATTTATCCATTTACTGAAATTCACAAAATTCATAGAATCGTGATAATCACCTGTTTTACATTTGAATTTAAATATCACAAGTGATCCGTCTACAAATCCAGTTTGACCTCCACAATGTACGATGATCAAACGGTTCCCTTTTCCAATATGAGTACGCCATGTACATCCTTGGATTGCCAGCATTTTGAAACGTTATAAGACTCATTTACATATGTTTCGTCAAGATTTAAATATGTCTTCCTTCTCTACGATATTTTTTGATATTCCTTAGGTATTTCCACCTCCACGATGTTATATTTGGCTGTTCAATAAGGAGTTTCCTTTTAGAACCGCATTTCTTAAATTTAAAACCTAGGTCATGTAACAACAGCCTTAAATATTCCCTTCCGCAGTGTAATATATTCTCTTCTCTAAGTACAGCATTCAACGTTTTCAGAGTAGGTATTTTTTTATCAATTGTATAAAACTGAGTGACTTTTCTTCTTACCACTCCTTTTGTGAAATCGTTTTATTTCTACTCTTTATTTGCGAACCTGTTTTGATTTTTTCGGTGATTTGAATCTTTCGTTGTCTTAATAATTTCCCTTGATGTACGATTCTAGATACAGTCTTTTCCGATAGTCCAGTAACTTCTGCTACGGTTTCGTTTAAATGTATGTCTCGTTGATATTCAACAGAATTTGGGTCCAGTTTCTTTTTTCTAAAATATTCGTACACGTTTAAAGCCATTTGCTTGCACTGACTATTCACTTTATGACCGAAGATCTTACGATTCATCTTGGTTATCACATGTGTATCTCTCACAAGGCGTCCGCAACAATTAACACGTGCGATCGCTGTCCGCGTTGCGATCGAAATGAGTGATTACAAAAATTTGCCCGCCGCCCGCACCTGTCTCAGTCCCCTTTGTCGTCATACCCCCGCGCCCCTAATAATAAGTAATAATTATTTATATAGATTTTACTATTAGGCATGATTTATAGGTAAAAATATAGGGTATCTGAAAATGTGAAAATCTAGAAATACTCGTCTAAGCAGAAAACGCATGTCGGAATTAATAGGGGTAGATTTTTAGACCTCGTCAACCCCCAACATTAGTTTCCGTTTATGTAGACCCCTGGGAAACCAATTTCGAACACAAGGGGTCTAAATCGACCACTTTGGGAATCCCTTGTTTTGATGGTTTGGTATTTGATTTCAATAAATAAGATCAAATTAATACTAAAAGACCTGATGTAAATTTTTTCCTGCCGGAAATTAATATTTTATTCGTTATATCACTATACACTATACAGGATCAAATTGTGAATTCAACCTATCCAGGAATTGTATTGTGAATAACAATAAAAACGTTATGTATTCTGTGAATAATAATAATCAAAACGTTGTGTTAATAATATTTTATTGAAACATAAAACTTAATACGAAATACACTATATTTATCATACAACATAAAAAGGCACTTTTACCCGAATTACTTAAAGCTGTTTAAATTACTTATATTATACAATTGTATTAATTATATAATTCACATTACTTACACAAGGTACCGCCAATGTTACCAACCAAATGGTTAACATACGTCGGTTAAAACAAACAACTAACTTAAAAAAATATAAACCGACTTTAATGCACCAACATCATGATAAATTTTAATAAACTGTATTCTTAATTTTCATCTTTAGGGCCGCAATTTTACTTCAAATTTGAGAAATGGACAGACCTGCGTGCGTCTGAATATATTTCGTTTATATTTTTGTGTTGTGTGGTGACGGATAAAGAAGACGGAGTGTCACCACCCCTATTCATTCCGAGGATGTCGTAAAAGCCGACTAAGGGAGCAAATTACGCAGCACAACAGCACTGCAAAGAAGGAATACTTTAAAAAAAACCCTACAACATCCCGTCTGCCCAGCGTGGTCTAAGGAGAGGCCTATGTCCAGCAGTTGACTATTAAAGGCTGTTGATGATGATGATACTTTCCGTTTGGTCTAAATCAAGTTTAAAAAAGAATGCCGCACAAAAGTAGAAAATTAACGAAGGAAGAATACAGTTCATTAGAATAATTAATGATGATGATACTATTTTAAAAGTGAATTATGTAACTCGTCTAAGAAAATTTTATAGCATGTGGTTTAAAATTATATCGGCGTCACCCAGTATTTGAACAATTACAATGCAACACATTAGATAAAAAAACATCTTCACATTCCTATCTAATATTATAAATGCTAGATTATTTTGTTTCTTTGTAACTTTTGCACCTCAAATACTCAACCGATCACCCTGATATTTTAACCCGACTGCGTCAGTCAGAAGGGTAATGTTTCTAGAGGGTATGTATGTAATTTCTTTAGCACGCTCTGAGGCCCTAGTGCAAGTTTATTTCACATCAACTAGCTCTCGACAGAGAAGGTATTCGGCGTTGCGATTGGTGAAGATTGCAGAGGCCCAGGTGTCAGTTTATTTCACATCTACTCGATCATCACGGTGACCGCATTCGGTACTGCGATTGGCCCGCTTTGAAATCTGCACCCATCGTAACGCCGAACGCGCTCACTGTCTAGAGCGAGTTGATGTGAAATAAACTTGCACTAGGGCCTCTGTAGTCTAAACGGCTTGACGAAAGGGTCTAGCAGGATAAGGTAGGGTCAGCGGCCCCAGAAATATATTTTGAAACTAACTCATTAGGCAACATCGGCGAGGTGTAAAACCACTATAAACTGAAATTCAGCCTGAAATGTCTCTGCGTTCTGGAGATAATTGATCAAAAAGACGCTAGAGCGGGTATTTTTCAAAATTACTTTTTTCGAAAACTATTACAGCTACTCTAATGAAACAAAAACTGGTCGTTAGACAAAAAAAGCCGTGTGGTGTCGTGGGACACCCGATAGGAACGAAGTTGTGACGATCGAGTAAAACTGATTCGACACGATTTTAATTACAACGCCATCTATAAAAGCGGCTATTACCTACATATTTTTCAGTTGGTTTCTAATTAAAACAATTTATACATTGGTAAAATCTCCTTGAGAAATGATTTCCTATCTATTCTAATGACTGACATAAAAAGTGTCGTTACAACTTTTCGTGAGATTTTTTTCCGTCTAGCCCCCTTTCACAACGCGCAATAAGGAACTTCGTTCCAATATTAGCCTACACTATTTATTTTTTATAGAATTTATCAGTTATATTAAGATTTAAAAAAAAACTAGATTTTATTCATAATTGACGCAAAACTAATATCCTGGTAAGTGACGTAATATGCAACAAATGCCGTCTAAGTTTCTACAAACAGGCAGACTCAACTTTAAAGCCTACCGCGAGTGATTAGTTTTTACATTTATCATCTGACATATTTCGTGTAAGTACTACCGCTACTCACTAAGACACGTTAAAAAAGGTTTTCTATAAGATTTTTTTTATTTTTTATTTATGCACTTTTTGGTACTAATACTAGACATAGCAAGCTACGTTATATATTTTTTCTGTGATTGTACCTCTGCGTGAATTATGAATAAAATCTAGAATTTTTTATTTTTATTTATTTTTTTATGTTAATACAACTGAAAAATTCTATTAAAAATATATAATGTAGACTAATATTTTGTCTAACGACCAGTTTTTGTTTCATTAGTGCAGCTGTAATAGTTTACGAAAAAAATAATTTTGAAAAATACCCGCTCTAGCGTCTTTTTGATCAATTATCTCCAGAACGCAGAGTCATAACAGGCTGAATTTCAGTTAATAGTGGTTTTACACCTCGCCGATGTTGCCTAATGAGTTTCAAAATATTTTTCTGGGGCCGCTGACCCTACCTTATCCTGCTAGACCCTTTAGCTTGAGAGGTATCGTTAGATTCGTCTTAATTGTGAGAGTGACACAGGGTATACGAAAATTAAAAGTACCTGTAGATTTCCACGTTGACGATGTTTTATTTCAATAATTAGCTTGCAAATTCACGTTATCATGGGTACAAAAACGATATATTTTTATCTTACTACATCCGATTTCCATACTTAATTTACCCAATTAAAATTATACAACTCTAACGCCTTTTATCGAATTTAAAAATGTTATAATAAAATTTTCATGCAATAATTACGCATTAAATATACTTTTCATTGTTTTTATCTACCTACTTTATTTCTACATTATTATGCATATACTCGTATGTGCAAGATTTTTAAAACTACCTCACCAAACATGGTACAATTTTTGGTACTAAAAAGACGAAGCTGCATACCCGATATTTATTAATTGAAGATTTTATATGGTATGGGGGGCAAGCAAACAAACGAGTAACGTGATGGTAAGTGACTATCGTCATCCATGGATGCAACTCAAGAGGCACGAGTGCGTTGACGCTCTTTACGTGCCTACCCTCTAGAGTGAAAAGGGGCGACACATTTATCCACAGTAAGAGTTAGTGCGTTCTAAAGCCTAACCGCCCATTGAAACAAACCCTATACCAACCAGTCTGGCCAGTGTGGTATAGTAGGCCAAAACCTCCTTTGTGTTGCAGGTGTCCATGGTTGGTAGTAGTCGTTTATCATCATGGTTTGCCTGCTATACCATTAAAATAATTAAATGGTAAAACTGGTTACAATTTTACGACAACGAGTGTTTAATTTAGTTACTTAAATACCTTCTGTTATTTCCTGAACATTAACTGTATCACACTGCAACGGAAGAGATTAATGTGTAGAACGATAATTTGAACATTAAATACCACTTTATTTTATTTGTGTTACATTATACTTGCATCCTGTTGAACAATTAAAACTTCCTTTTGAAGGTTTCCTGAACCGATTTTGCAATTCGCCATCACCTGTAGACCCTCCACTCTGTAACAGAACGTAACACTATGTGTGTTTATTCTGAAAATTTATAGGACAAGTGATAAGACATGTTAGAGATTTATATTTATACATATTTAAAGTCGATATTGGAAGTCCGATGCATTTGTCAATAAGTATAATAATAACTGTTCACGCCTATTAAAACAATATAACCACAGACAATCAAGAATCGATATTTATGCGGCGAACAATTTTATTTTTTTGAAGGCAATACTTATTCACTGCCACCCACTACTCATCGCTAAAATATTGTAGTAAAGGCAAATCATTACTTACGAAAATTCTGTTAGAATATACACTGTAAATGTTATCTTGGATAATTATACATTTCAATTAAGAAAAGAGGTTTTATTTGATACGAAAACCTACAGTTTGTCGAATACTAAACAATAACTCCACTCCAATTGCCTCGAATAGAATACAATTGTTACAATTAAGAAACAACAACATCAATAACTCTGTTGATAAACATACTTATATATTTCTAAATACATGCATATTATAGGGAAATTACACCCAGACAAAAAACAAAATGATCATGCTCCTCACACACTATTTATCCTGAGTGGAAATCGAACCCACGTCCTCCAGCTTTGCACTCCAGGTCATAAGTGACCTGGAGTGCAAAGCTGGAGGACGTGGGCCTAGACCAACAGACTTGTGGAGGAACAGGTATCATGTCCCTCCAACACAAAAACCCAACGGCTGATGATGGGAAGTTGTATATGTTAAGGTTTAAAATTAAAATATTGTTTTATCTGTGTCACTGTTAGAAACTGTTTTATTGTATCTGTGTCTATGTTATCTGCGAAAGTAAGAAAATGGTAACAAGTGTTCTTGTTAAAAATGTGCCAGTATATAGTTATCTGTGAATGTTCCTCTGCTAAGTAAAAGTCTTAAATAATATTAAATTGTTTTCTTTTTAATATAAGCCCTAAAAGCATATAATATGCTCTAATCGGCGCGGCGTAAGAATTATTCATATCGCGATACAGGATTTGCAGTTACTCTGTAGTTTGGTGTGTCGAAGTTAGATGGCGCTGTAGTGTGTTTTAGTTTCATGGTATGTGGAAGTCGCCACAAGCTCCAAATATATTCAGTGAAGATGAGTCTAGAAATACTTACTCTGCATGTTTACTATTATCCCCTGTGTCCACTTCACATCTAATACTCTGTTCACTACATTCCGATATAACCGTGCTGTTTAACTCCACGTGTGAACCGGAATACATTTGTATGCCAACGCCGCAATTCTTTATATTACAGTTCCTAAACTCCACCTGTAATATTTAATTTTATATTCAAAAGTCCGTTATTTTTGAATAATTACACTCAATAGCAAGAACTTGTTCACATAAAGCTAGCTGAACATTTCGGAAGCTAAGAGAGAGAAAGCTTAGTAAAATAAATTATTTTTTAAGACATAAATTATTTTGCCTTAAACAGAAAAAAAAATGTCAAGAAAAAAATAGAAATTGAAAGACAATTTTTTTTTAACACATCTTGAACTGTTCACAAACCAACTTAGATTCGTTGTTTTCAAGTGTATTTATTACAAATAAATTAGACTTAGAACATAATTATAACTAATAACATTATTAATTATCAATTCTAACAAATAGTAAAACCTACTAAAGAAATGTATTACGATTTTTTTATATGTTTAAGATGTAAAAATGTTGTAACACTGAGGGATTTGAGTTAAGTTTATTTTATGGACTTAAATTGCAAAAAAAAAACATATCTACACTTCTTTGAAAACTGTTAAACTTTCTTGTCCTAATGTTCAAATTCATAAAACAGCTTAAGTATTAGTCTTACCTGAGCGCCTTTGTGTACAACAATGCCAGAATAGAAATTGTTGAATGTGCAGTCTTCAATGAGAATCTTCGCTCCTGCCATTGCAACTATTCCTTGGGCAAAGTCACACTAAAACAAAAATATTAACTAAGAAATGCATTAATTTATTTTGAAATAGTGTTTTAATGAATTTATAGCTTCTATTTTGCTAAACCATTTAATCCTTGGTTGGACCATACATATTTTACACAATTATGCAGTAGTATCTTGGCATGATGCCACCCGTTTTTATATTCTACATTAAATAAGCTTTTATATAGATGACAAAATATGATCTAAGACGGTGGCGGAACTTGTTCTGAACGTCACTCTAAACCGGCAGGAATAGCAAAAGCAAAGCTGTACAAAATAGTGTGGCTGCCTACTTTTCAAGAGGCGAACAAGTTCTGCCAGTTCGCGACTTCCGTCGTTGGGTATACCTGAGGCACTTGCAGTTTCGTTCGTTCAACATCGAAATACCACTTTCCCGTTATCCACTGCTTTAAGATGAATTGCAGTGGACACATACATTTATGCATGTCTTAACAGATAATAATAATAAAAATCTCACACACGGCTATCTGGTCCCAAACTAGGCAGAGCCTGTGCTATGGTGATCATATTTCTAAATACATACATATTATAGATAAATTACTCCCAGACACAAAACAAATACTCCTGCACATCACACGAAATTTGTTCTGGGGGGAATCAAACTGTTTGACTAATAGCAATTGGTGCAAATGGACCCTAGAGTGAATACCAGGAATCAGATTAATAAATTAGATAAAGGGCCTGTTGCTTATGATTACATGAAAGAGTGGTGACTAATTAATTTATTGAGCGCTAAAGAACTTGCTTGCTAATAATAAGAAACACTAACCTGCGAACTAGTTGAATCATCAAGTATAGTACACCGAGATATGTGTAAAGTGCCTGCTTTCATCACAATAGCGGTGTTTACAGCTGTACACAGTAGCGTCAGGTCGCGCAGCCTGCACTCTTCACTCAGCATAAGTAGACACGACCGCATGTCGGGTGCTTTAAGAGTTACGCCTGTAAATTTAATAATTGTAAACAAATATTTACGTATATCTGAAGAATAGTTCTAATACTAGACACCTCAAACGGCCGTGTGATCTCAAACTAGACATTACAAGAACCAGAATGTTTATACACAGATTTTTGTAGATTCCATTTTACTTGCAATCCTCATTCTGATGTTGCTCTCTCTCTCTCTCTTTATTTAAAAACTTTTTTAGAAATATAAATTTATAGAAACTCACCATTAAAACTACATATACTAATATGCGAAAGTGGCATCTCTGGTAACTCGTATTCCTTACTGCACACCACTAGTTCTTCAGGCTCCAAGGCTAGCGCCTCTTCTGCTGACGTTAACATTGTCAGCATATACTCATTTGTGAGGTGGGAGCGAAGGAACTTGGAGATCTCTTCGAATTCGAATATTGAACCACCTTGCCAGAGTGCGACAACCTTAAAGATATTATTATATAAGTTAAAAACGACCGAATGGCATAGTGGTTTGTGGAACGGACTGCTATTCTAAAGGTCGCGGGTTCGATTCCCGCTCAAGTCAAGCATTTGTGTGCATGAACATTTAATGTTTGATTTGGTCTGGGTGTTTCTATGTATAATATGTATGTATTTACAAAAAAAAAAGTATATATGTATTTATATCAGTTGTCTAGTACCCATAGTACAAGCTCTACTTAGTTTGGGACTAGATGGCGTTGTGTGACTGTGGAAAAAAAAAAAAAAAAAAAATTTGCATCCTAAATTTATATTAATATAAATAAGCAAGCAAGCAAGCAAATAAATAAGCTAATAAGACAATAATTTAATTTGACAATATTATATAATTAAGTAGAATAGCATCTTGATTGTCAGATGTTATGTCAGATTTTTTTGCGGGCACATGCTTGGGGCGATCCAAATGTGTCAATCAAGTATGACACTCCAGACGGTTTATTTAGATGGTCGATTTAGACACACCGCTCTACCGAAAACCCGTGGGCTGACGGCCCGAAAGAAAATGATCTCTGAGTCTGACTTCCCAATAATTATTAAAGTGGGCTGGCATGAAAATGATTAGCAACCAATTTAGTCAAGAATAAGTGTTCCATGAGTTTCCATGGGGATAACTGAAGCTGGGATACTTACATTTTTCTTACTCCTGTTCTTCTGGTATTTACTCCTAACCTTAGCTAAATATTGCTCCCTGATGAGTGAGTTTTCATACAGTGTCCACTTCGACATGAGCCCATCAAGACGAGCATTCATTTCGGCGCACAATGATATGTAGTTTGGAGGTAGTAGAGAATCTGTAAACAGCATTAGTTGCCAAAATTTCAGGATTGTAGCCCAAGAAGTTTAGGCTCTGCATTGATCAGTGAGAACAAGTAAATTTATATGTATAAATTACCATACCATATTTGCAATTTATACACTAATAACTTTTTAGTGAGCCTAACTCTAAGGTTCTTTTTGCAATTATAAAACTATATTATTTTTACTTGAAATTGAAATTTTTTTTTTTTTTAGAATTACAGATATTTTTGTAGGTGATGTAGCATAATACATACATACATGTACTGGTTGACTGGTAGATAACACCATGTGGCATTAAGCCTGTCTCATGCAAATTTTAATGCAGGATGTGTAAAAAATTAATTAAAAATAAATAAAACTACAGCAATAAGCATACCATCATCATTAGCCAAATCTCCTTCACACAACGATGAGTCGAGCTGCCGCAGTTTCTCATGTGCGTCGATTGCACTATTCCTCAACAATGTAATGGAGCGAGCTACACAGTTGGGAATGGTACCATTGTGCATATCTGCCCAGAGCTGCATGCGTTCCTCTATTGTGTTTGGTAGAAGGATTTTATCATCTGCATCGTCCCAAGGCATCCAGATGTCATTGTAATAGAATCTGTCAAAAAGTCAAGATTTTTTGTTTTACTTCAAATACAAAAGGAAGTTTTCGATCCAACTAATATTTTTTTACACAAAGATGGCTATACTGATTTCTAAAAATTTTTTCTTGTCTTGGCAGATTCCAGTCTCATGTGGTTAGAATGGGATGTACTGAAGATGCCAATCTTGAAGAAATATGGGGGACTCCACAAGTTTTCAAGGGGTGATGAAGTTTTCAGACGGCCCAGTATTACGCAATAGTAGTTCCAATCTTGTAATTCATTTACTTGGTGTGTTTTGTTTATTTTGTAGTTTAATTTAAGTATTAAGTATGATTGGCATTTGGAATTTTTCAAATTTCTGTTTAGGTGCACATACCTTAACAAATCAATAAACTCGGCAGTGGTAGCAACATTGATACACTGCTCTCTCTGCTTCATAGTTGGCCAAAGTTCTATCAGTGGGACATCAACTACATTCTCCGGTAGAGATACCGACTCGTGTTGTACGCTCAGCACATCAACACAAGCAGATAAGTTCTCAAAGTCCACTGTAGTTACTGCAATGTATGCTATACAAGGGAATCTCACTTCTGTAAAATGAAAAACATAAGATTTAAGTAAAGGAAGAAAAAAAGACAAATCAAAATAGTCAGAAGACTTTAATGATACTAAAGGTATTTTATTTTTATATGACTGTCTGTTAAGTAAGAGATAGTGGGTTTGATTCACACTCAGGATAAACAGTTGTATGATAAGCATAATTATTTATTCTGTTACAATATAATAATGTTTATATTTATTAATAGTATGTTTGTCAGAAGTTTGATTACCATAGTAAAGGCTCTTCCTAATTTATGGTCAGATTATTATTCACTATGATGGGTCCTAATGAAATCAAACAGAAGAGAGTTATATTGTGTTTTAAATATATTTTATATTCAGAAACATTTAAACTGATAACTTGTTTTCATTGGCTTTCATTTCAAACCTCGAGATAACATTACTTTAGTTTTTAAGAGTTTAAAGAGTTTAAACATAAAACTTACCAAACTTTTTACAGAACTCTTTGGAAAGCTTCCACAGTGCATCCCATCCAACAGGTTCTACCAAGAGTTCTGCCTGTGTACTCCACTGTTCTCTAGCCGTTCCACGACCAGAGCTAAAGACTCTCAACAACTCCTGCTGGATCTCAGCATCGCTTCGTGAAAAAGTATATACTGTTGGCATCTACAACAGTTAAATTAATACCTCCTACATTACAAGTCCGAGTTGGTTTACTTTCAGTTACGTTTTGGTTTGTGCTATTCTTAAGCAGTATCTATTTTATTGAAAGTATTACTAATTCCTTGCAGGATCTCGCTACATAACTGTAACACATAGACAAGTCGTAGCAGAATGAAATTAACATTAATTTGAGTGAAACAGTGCTGAGTTATAAGTTATAACACAAAAATAAAGAATAAATTACACACCTTTTGAGACAAATCAGTAAAAAAAAAATTAAAACACGACCTCTAAAACTGTTGTTTATGACATGAGTCATTTTCAAAAATAAATTATTGTTTATTTTCAGAAAAAAACTATTGTATTATTTACCTTGGTTATTTTAATGCAAATATCACCTCAGACTTAAGTTGTTTACTTTTTTATTGTTTCACAAATCATCGAAATGAAAATGTTAACTTTAAACCGCCACCAACTGAAAATTCAAACTAGCGATTGACGACTGACGTTAACTTGGAAGTGTTGCCATTAATCTATATCTATAAAAGAAGAAACTTACAGGCTTATTCGCTGACAGATCGATCAACGCACAGCTACAACCGCTTGGTCTAAAATCATGAAAATTTGCACAAATGTTCCTCGGGTAATGTAGGTGTGCACTAAGAAAAAATGTTCAAAAATTCCACCCCTAAGGGTGCAAAATGGGGGTTAAAAATTTATATGAATCTTCGTTAATTTTGGGTAGTAGCGTATCCTCTACGATGTCGACTACCACGCGGACTAAGTTGCTAACAAAAACTAGTATGAAATAAAATACAGAACAATGTATGACAATGAACCTATTTCTAGTGATAAAATTATTCTGTACTATCGATTTACTTACTTTTATACAACCTTTTTCAGACCCTAAAAAGTAGCTTTTGGCTTTAGCAACTTTCTATCTACTTTGAAAGTTTAGAATTAGTCGGATTTATAAGAGTTGGCATCACTGTTGCAGATGTGAATTTTTTTTTCACAGTATATTAGTACCTGTGATATTGTTGACCATATATGAATATATGACTGGGGGAAATAATTTAATAATTCAATTGGTTCAGCTTTCCATTGACGTCCATCGAGTTGGGGGGAGGTTTTTTTTTACAGAAAGTTTACATTCTTGTAAGTGTGTGCTTATTGAGGTAACAAACAAAGTTTCAACATGCGGAGACACGTAGTTTTTGAAAAATGAATCAATTACTTTGCAATATTTATGTCAATCCCTACCATTTTGTGGATCACTCAAAGTGCCGTCCCATGTGGGGTTTGAACCCACATGGGACGACATAAGGCGACATGGGCATGGTAGGAAGCGGCGTGGAGACCGCTTAAACCACTACGCCCTTCGTACAGTCAATTTACCTTAATAAATAACAGTTTGTACTCAATTCAATAGTTTTTATGCACATATATATTTAACAGTTTATATATATTACAGCATTATTTTCATTACGAGCTATTAGAATGTGTAGTGTTAACCTCCTTTTGCTGCTTTATCATTTAGTATTTAATTCGTTTTATTTTAACAGTACCTATCAGGGCAGATAACAAATAAAATAGCTTAGGTTCAACTTATGGCAAAGAACCGAATTGATTGACCCGACTCCACGTGGTACGAGTCTGTCCTACCCCTAGAGTGTTTTTATAGAGCCTCCGCCTGCTGGAACAAATCGTCGTCTTTAAACCGCTGGAACAAATCGTAATCGTAGTTGAACCTAAGCCGGAACGGCTAAGGCTGGTCGCTGAAGGCGACCAACATGCGGAGGCGAGCATGAATGCCAGCGATTTGTTACGCAAGGGTGTAGAGGCTGCTCTTCACGCAGTGCCGGAGACGTTGCAGTCTCAAAACAGATACAGAAATAACTTTGAATCAGTCCCCCTATTTTTTCTGATGCATGGGGTTCCCCCCCTTCCGTAAAAAAAAATGACCCAAGTTGAGGCAATCACGAGTTATATGGACCAAGTAAATTTTAGAATTTTGGGAAAAAAAACTCGTAATTGCCTCAACTTGGGTCATTTTCATATTTTTTCTTGAAAAACTCTACAATTAGAAGTAGGATTGATCTCTTTAACATAACTAAATAAGCGGAGGCGGATGGCGGATTAAGTATTAAGAGCGCCCTAGGCAAGCTTCTCATCAGCCCCCTCTCCCCCCCCCCCCTCCCAAAACTGCATTATTAATAGCTAATAGTTGGCGTTACTAAAATGTGTGATAGTGATTACTCCAAAGACATTTCTTTACAAGAACATTTTTTTTTTATGCGTGGAAACCCCCATGATCTCTCCCCTCTGGGGTCTCCCCACTGGGGTTTGCGTTGGGTCACTGTATGAGAATCGAACCGACAAAAACCACTCCAAGGATCCGATAACAGCTTTTATTGAGATGTCTAGGCATTTCTTTTTTTTTGGTGACAGAAAGCTTTACCTGTCCCAGACCTGCACTTATGCATGATAGAAGCGACCTATGAGACTAAATCCCTCAGGTGGCCCCCTCCGAGGCTCATGAAAGAACAACTCCGCCCTTCCTAGCGCCTGCCCATTAAAACCTTCGGGGATTACCTTTCATTTAGAAGACGTCTACCACACGAGGACGTCACCGGTGGCGAGTGGAGGGGAAAACCCGTCCTGAGACTACGCTCAGTAACGGGATACTCGGCGTCCTAGGACGCACAAAAACGCACAACTAGACGCTTGCGCGTGTTGTGCCCGGACTCGGACACCGCTGTGCATGCAACTCCGGTGTCACCCGGAGTGCTGAGGGATTCTCTTTTGCGTGAGGTAACGCTATGTTGCCATAGCGACTAGGATACCCCCCCAGCCGTTAACCTCTTCACCGGGCTACCTCAGCTTGACTGCTGGTCGTTGGAGTTTGATCTTTGGAAGGCAACCTCGCGCCCCTAGGCACGTGCCTACTTTGCCTTAGGGTTAATCCGCTACTGCAAATAGGAATTTTGCGATAAAAAGTCGTGATTGCTTCAACTTGGGTCATTTGGAAACTAGCCAATCATGGCGCTTATTCTTTACCAATGTGTTTATTATCATTCCTAATGGTTTTCATCAATATAACAGAAACTCTGGCAATTTTGCAGCCGCCTCGAACTCGTGATTGCCTCAACTTGGGTCATTTTCTTGAATAACACGGCACTTTAAACTCTACAATTTAACGTATGTTTGATCACGATAACATATGGACCAAGTAAGTATGTGAATTTTGCAATAAAAAATTACTTCCCTCACTTCTGGAGTCATACGGAATGCAAGCAATCATGTCGCTTATTCTTTACTAACGTGAATACCATCATGATGGTTTTTATTAATAAGACAGATACCCTGGCAATTTTGCAGCCTCTGGAACCAGGTATACCCTAGAAAGGAAGTCCCTGGTGCCCCGACATACCTCGGGCCATCTACAAAAACAGGTAGACGACCCCCCCCCCCCGTGTGGGAACCCCATGTTCCCTCTGCTCCCTGGAAGCGCAACGCGCTCGCCGCTACCCCGGCCTGCTTCTGCTAGGGTGACAGATGGCCTCACCTGTCACCTCCAGGCCTGCGCTTATGGAGGACGGAGGTCGTTCTGCGACCTCCGGCGCCTGAGTCGCCTGCGGTACCTGGCCCGTTCCCGGGCCTGGCGGGCCGGGAGAGTCCTAAACCTCTCCCGGTCCCGCTCCGCCGTCTCCTTCGCGAGCATAACTTGCTCGCAGAAGGAGACGGCAGAGTTCCACGCACTCTCGCTTCGCACGATAGCCGCAATCAGGCACTCCGATGGCTGCCACGAGGTCTCGCCTCTGCTCAACCCACACCGGGCACTCTGCCAGCGTGTGGAGAGCTCAGATATGTCTGGCCATCGCAGTGGTGGCACTCAGGCGTTGGCTCCTTGCGGATCCTTGCGGACACAGGTGATCCCCGAAACATCCTTTCCCAGTGATCACCTGCGTCAGTCGGTATGAGAGGGTCCCGTGACGCCTCTCGAGCCAATCCTCCATAACGGGTCTTACCGCCGCGATGACGGCGTGCCCGATACGGCTTTACCCTAGATTATTAATATGTAACATGACATAATATGTATAAATAAACTTATGGCTATACTTACCTAATTATATTAGTAAGATTTCGCCTTCATACACGAAATAGATATAAGTAATTCTACTTGGAATCATGTATATCATACCTTTTCCTTTTTGACGCGATTATCTTTGCATGCAATTGGAAGATCATGGTTCATGGGTGGTTCTTTGTTCAAAGTTGTTCATTTCCATGACTTGGAAAAGTACCGGGCAGATCATTATGGGCAATGTATATTTAGTATCTTTAGATTGGGTAGACTTATATCGTGAAAGAGTCATGTTTCAGGTTCGGCAAATTGAGACTGCTTTCCGGAGTGATTCTACGTCCTCGGAGAAAACTAGTGTTAAGCATTTCTTTCTTTGTTTTTCACTGAGTGAGTCACATGAGTAAGGTTATTTTACTTTTAACTTTTTAGGTATTATTCGTTAACTTGTAAAGACTATAACAGATTTCACTAACGTGGTATGTATTTTAGGTTGTAAGCTATTGCCGGGAAATAAATATAATAATAGGTCTTTACCTATGAAATTGCCGTTTTGTATGCAATAAGTAAGTGAAAGTACTTATTTTTCAAACTTTTTTATTTCTGTTTTTCGAAGTAATCACCCATGCGATCGACTCATCTTTGCCAATGCATTGGCAGTTTATTGTTTCTTGTAAAAATCAGCTGGTCGGGAGGCAACAAACTCTTCAATGGCATTTTGTACTGCCTCTCGGGATTTGAATTTTTTACCCACTAAAAAGTTGTCTAAATTTTGGAAAAAGTAATAGTCGGTAGGTGCAAGGTCTGGTGGTCACATCTGCAACCAGCTTTGGTCAATCGGTCGTCCCCACTGCTCCTTCACAACAACGCGCGACCCCATACTGCGCAACAGACAGTCTCCAAGCTGCAAGAGCTGGGGTTGGAAGCTCTCCCTCATCCGCCATACTCACCAGACCTTGCACCTATCGACTATTACTTTTTCCAAAATTTAGACAACTTTTTAGTGGGTAAAAAAAGTTTGAAAAAATAAGTACTTTCACTTATTGCATACAAAACGGCAATTTCATAGGTAAAGACCTAATTTATATATACTTTATATTTCTTGTCAAAGTGTGTTTATGCCGATGAAGGCTTCCAACCGTTAATAACAGGTCATTTTACATTATAATTAGTTATATCTACATTAAATGGGAGTGAGTAATTGTATATTACGTATATTAAATAATGACCCTTGACTAGACATGTTATTACGGTATATTAGCCATACATGATAAAATAGATGGTGAATTAAAGCGAATACACCATGTAAAATGTGAAAAGACAAAATGGGATTTACGAGTATATGCATGAGTCAAGTAATTTGCAAACCAACAATCAGAAAATGTGTCGTAATCATACAATTTTCATAGCTTATTAAAACCAATGAGCTGTCTTGCTTTGCTTATCTTGCCTTTAAAATTAATAATTTGGTAAGCAAGTGATATTCAAGTTCTTGTTTTATTCTGAATACAGAAATGTTAAAGTTTCTATGCCATGCAAGTACACGAGTGTTACGTTCGATAGCTCAATTGTGTCGGCTTATAGCTGTGGTTCTGATAGAAATAAATGAATAACGAGACAGGTGAACTTAACTGATGTATATTATAGAAAATTACAATAAAAAGTATATTGCCGACAAGCAAAAGGGCGACCAATCAAGATGGTCTCCGCCTCCCTACGAGACAGTAGGGAGGCGCCCCCGCGCGCCTCAAGCATAGTGAAGGGAAACCGCAACACGAGTTCCATTGATCTATTTAACTCAAAGAGTTTTTCATACAAATTAAAAGAACCTTCTCTGTCGAATGACGACATCATATCATCACGTGACCACAATGCCGCGTTTGTGTGGCCTGTTTTTTATTTACATAAAAATATACTTTTGTTTGATTTAAGGACGAAACAATGAATAAGACATTACAGGTATTATTTAAAAAATATGTAGGAATTAAAAACTATTTTTGAATAGTCGTCAATTCCCGGATTCTGAAAATCGCAATTCATTGTGTGTGCCTATGTAACTTTTTCAAATTCAATTAATTGGCTGCTTTAATACTACAAGTTTTTCCCACATATTATTTTATTTTTTAAGGACAATCTTCGTGTGTTTTTAAGGAATTAAGATTAAAATTTGTTTTTACTTACTAACTTCACTCACTATGTGAAAAGCAACAAAATAATTGCCTAACACCGATTTTCTGTTAGGCCGTGGTATCACGAGGTACCTACTCCGGTCGAGCCGGTCAATGACCGTTCCGATATCTACTATCATAGTAACAGTCAAGTTTGATAATCAAAATAGTACCCGCCCACTGTCATTGCCAAAAACAAAATAAAGAACAATTGAAAGAATTTTTTTTTACTCACTTGCGATTTAAAAGTAATAATAGTACTAAACTGTTGTATTATTTGTATGACATTTTAGTTATCAAAGACTGAAGCTATACAACACTATATTAATGACAACAATAATAGGAAAGCAGTTCTTCTTGACACGGCCCGTATAGTGGGGAGGCTCCGGTTTCCAAGGGGTTGAGCCTTATGAGAAGAAAGGGCAGACAAACTCACATCATCATCATCATCATCAGCCTATCGCAGTCCACTGCTGGACATAGGCCTCTCCCATTGCACGACACTATAACACAAGCGTAAAAATATATTACTCTGAAACAAATGTACATTGTTTTCCTTTTATTATGCAACTAGCTGACCCGCGCAACTTTGTCTGCGTCTCTCAATAGTAATAAATTTTCTCCGTTTTTGAAACATTCTTCATTGGTGCTCAGCTCCTATTGGTCTTAGCGTGATGATATATAGCCTATAGCCTTCCTCGATAAATGGGCTATCTAACACTGAAAGAATTTTTCAAATCGAACCAGTAGTTCCTGAGATTAGCGCGTTCAAACAAACAAACAAACAAACAAACAAACTCTTCAGCTTTATAATATTAGTATAGATGTGTAACATAGCCTTATAGCCTTGCCGCAAAGAAATAAGACATAAGCAAAACGTGCTACTTTGTTGTAGCAATTAGTACTGTATTTACCTGATGAAATTGCATATAGAAGTAAATAAGGCACATATTAATTCATCTAGCGTTGTTCTTACCTTAGAATCGTATTCACGACAGAACGGTCCGCTTGTGTGGATTTTTTTAATAACTCTACGTTTTGAGACCAATGTCACATTGGGCCAACAATGCTAGTTTTTTTTCGTGTTTAAAAAAACGTGTTTTATTTTTATTTTCAAGAAGTAGATTTGCTTTACATAATGTGCTTTTAATTTAATAAATACAGTGTTCATTTATTACATTCTAGCTACGGAGTGCATTTTCTTTTTGTAGACACTACATTCGCAGACATAAATTTCGTAAGTAAACTTTTAAATACCTGGAGAATTACTTTTAGCAAAACAACTAACTATTGATAAATTTATGTTTATTATTTAGCTCATTACTTTATTTAGAATTTAATGCATTTGCTTTTATTTACATTTAAAATAAATGAACGTTCCTAGGAACTTCTTCAAGAACAATTATTTTGTACTTGCTTGCGTGGCTTGTTGTTACTATATTTAATTAGATTTATACATACCTTAACATGAAAAGTCAAATACATATTCATTTACAGATAACGTTAAATATTTTAAGAAATAGCGTGATTACATAACAGCAATTTAATTTACTTCTACGATTAAACTAACTGCCTGTTTTTAGTTTGTGATAACTCAATTATGTATTTAGTTCATTTCAAATACAGACTTCGATACTAATGCTAGAAAAAGACAGGTCTGTATTTTTTGAAATCTTTTTGTTTCGGTTTTAACTGAGGCGGTCAATGCCTACGTTATTTCCTTGCCTTCTCTGTCATAACAAATCGTTTCTGAAGGTTATCGAGAATCTCTCTAATAATCACCCGATTCTTCCTGTGCGTCATCTCGTCAAGCTGCGGTAAAAAAAATCTAACGACGCTCACAAAAAATGCAAATTATAAACAATCTTACTATAGGGTGACAAATTTACTGCTACGTCGTTGATAATGATATTATAAACTTACTTACCATTTACTAGGTATAAAACCTTAGAGAAGTCACGCAAGTGAGGGCAAACGTCAATAGTTCTTGCAGCCTAATTATTTAATGAAATTATGATTACGATACTGCATGTACTGTGACTAAAAATAAAAATATTGAAATCTTTATCAATTTATTCAAAATGAAAACAAAGAAGGGTTCGTTTTGACCGAATCATACCGATCGGTAGTCACAAGGAAACTGATCGTGGGGAAATCTATAGTGTTTAATTGTAGAAGAAGAACTCGTACACACTCATACAAATAACAAGTTATACAGGAATTTATATCTTTGCTCAGTAGGTCTGCATTTGCCAAAACAGATTGTTATTGATCTATGCATTTAGAATAATTTTAAAAGAATTGGAATAAAAAAAGAATGATATTTTGGCGTTGACTTTGCTTCTGCATAAACTAAACTCTTTTGTAGTCTCTTTGGTGCCAGATTTATTAAAAACTAACAGAGGATTTATTTTTCTTATTATTAATGATTAATTTTGGTAACTCTAATACTAATAATAAGAAACGATGAACTTGACTTTTTAGAAATTTTCATAAGGTATGTGAGCAATCCATCTTACAGAGCCATGTCCTGGTATACTGCAGTCTTGAGCATAGCCATAGCCGCCTTAGCATACTGGCAGTATTGGAGATGGGCCCACAGAAGAATGCTGGAACTGGCAGCAAAGGTCCCTGGTCCACCAGCTTTGCCAATACTTGGCAATGCCCTGATGTTCATGGTTAAGCCTGGGGGTAAGAATATGGAGCATAACCATTTTAACTCATCAAATTTACTGGTCAGTTGAGTGAAAGCCAGGTGATGGATCACCAAAATCCCCAATCTCTAAGAGTTATAATCCCCGGTTTTTGATCTGCTCCACCGGATCCAATTCTTTATAATAATAATAATAATACCTCATACACGTCACACACGGCCGCCTGATTCCAAACTAGGCAGACCCTGTACTATGGTAACCAGACTGCTGATAAACATACTTATATATTTCTAAATACATACATATCACAGATAAATTACACCCAGACACAGAACAAATGACCGTGCTCATCACAAAATGGGCCTGGGTGGGAATCGAACCCACGAACTCCGGCTTAGCAGTCAGGGTCACTAACTGTAGACCAACAGACCATTAGTGAGTTGCTACACACATGGACACCTGCATTTAAAATAGTTGCAGGAATCCAAAGGTGGCGGTAATCACTTACCATCAGGTGACCGATTAGCTCGTTTGCCCCCCTATGTCATAAACGGAAATAAAAATACTAAGCTTTAATGAAACATACACAGCTGATGAGGCAACGTTTACATTCATTCACTATACTGTACCACTATACTGTTCTTAGGGGGACACCAGCTGATGTTGGTATGTTCTGTACAAACTAATAACTGCTAGAACTTTCTTTTCTAGATTCAGTATTTATCCTCTTAATGCATAGTTAATAGTCACAGCAGTACATACAAAATCTCTTTTTTATCTAGAACTTAACTTAAAATAAACACACTATTCTTATCTTCTTTACATAGTTTAAAGTAAAGTCGCTTTTTTGTGTTGTACGCTTAGATCTTTTAAACTAAGCAACGGATTTTAATGCGGTTTTTACCAATAGAGATAGTAATTCAAGAAGAAGGTTTATACATGCATATTATAGAAGAAAAAATCCGAGAATTTCAAAGATTTATCGTAAAAAGCATGTTTTTGTGCGCTTCCATTGCACACGCTGGCTAAACCTTACGAGATACATCAAAATAATGTGTCAGTAATAGATCAAAATTGTATATTTTAAAAATATCTAAAAAATATTCCACGTTGGTACATCTAGCCGCTTCCTACTGCCGCTACTGAGTGTTGTGGATCCCATCCCCTCATGGGACAACACTTTGTGTGATTCACAAATTGTGGTTCTGAGTCTGGGTGTTATTTGTGTCCGTTTAATGTCTTTGTAAAGTCCCCGACGACATAGGATATATTCCTGGTGCGGGACTTGTATTTAAAAAAAAATGTTTGTCAGACTCTTATATTTTGTTTAATAACCAAGAAACAAAGAATTTTTAAAAGAAATTATTGATGCTTTATAATAAATGAAACCCTTTTTTTTAGAAATATTGAACAAAATCTCAATGCTTCACAAGGTGTATGGACAATACTTTAAGTTCTGGTTGGGTCCTGATTTGAATATTTGCGTGAAAAATCCTACAGACATAAGAGTAAGTAACTCTAGTCATGAAATTATTATTGTATTGTATAATTGTGTGAATAATTTAAAGAAAATGTATTTCATCATCATCAACAGCCTTTAGTAGTCCATTGCTGGACATAGGCTTCTGCTTAGGAAGGAGGTTTTGGCCTGATTTACCACGCAAGCCAGGCGGTTTGGTATAGGAGGGCAAAAAGTGTCCTGGCATTTACTACGGGTGGTCACCGAGGACCTGGAAGGGGTTAAAATTGTAATTAAATACATCACGTAGTTATAGGCACGTTCCCTTACGGAGATTGTCTCTTCTCAGATGTTGCTGACAAGCAGCAAAGTCAACCAAAAGGGGCCACTTTATGACTTGATGAAACCCTTCATCGGTTCGGGTATCCTAGCAGGAGGTAGTACTAATTCTGTAACTTAATAATATATTACTGTTAAATTGTTTATTTTGGGGTATCCTAAATTTGATGCACACATTTGAAACTTCTCTTCTAGCTTATAACTTCGCAATGACTATTATTGACTATAATTTGGTCCTACAGCGTTATGACCTTAGTTTATTATGTCAGTATAGATGTTAAGACCACAAACTTCCAAATATGGATGCTACATTCTCAAAACAGAGTTTCTCACTTTCTGTCTGTTGGTCTAAGAACATAATTTTATCCATTTCTGTTCAAATAGATGTAGCACAGGCATACTCTTATCTATCCATAACTTAAGATACATTCAGTATTGTTCTGTTGTTTGTGCAAAAAATAATTATTGAAGTTAATTTGATCACACTACAGATATTCGTCTCTTGAGATCTTAAAGCCAGCTAAACTCAACCTCTACCTCTTAAAGGTTGTATAACTTAGTAGCAATTATAATAACTGCTAACTTAACTTAAAAGATCTAATGTAGACTGTAGAATATAAAGATCAGAATTTTATGACTAATTTGCACATGTATACAGATCGTTTTAAACATTTGAAAGGTTTCAGGTTCAACATGGCGAAAACATCGAAAGATCGCCAATCCATCTTACAACAAGAAAGCAGTAGAACACTTTACACATGTATTTAATGCAGAGGCAAAACAGTTGGCAATGGAGCTCACTCAAAAAGATCCGAAAATGATATTTGAAATATACACAGATGTGGTTAAGTTTACAACGCAGAGTGTAACTCGTAAGTAGAAAGTAGTATCTATGACCCATTAAATTAAAGTCAGTTCTTTTGGTGACGGATTAAGAATACAGAGTGTCACCACCCCTATTCATTCCGTGGCTATCGTAAGAGCCGACTACGGGACCAAATTACGCAGGACAACAGTACTGCAAAGAGAAGGAAAACTTGAAACAAATCCTATACCAACTAGACTTGCAACGAATAGTATATTCGGCAGTATACCGAATACCGAATATTCGGCGAGGCCCCTGACCGAATAGCCGAATATTAGGCAAAAGTATTCGGCTGGATTTTAGCGCCAAAAACTTGTACAGACGTGAATTAAATTATGTACCTGTTTTATGTACCAATGACTACTTAATAAATGATTATAAAAGAAATGAGAACCTTACCCTTATAAATTTGATTACCACAATAATTCAAATACATAGAATCCTCCATTTTTCCAATTCAGAAGATGATTATGTACCTGTGTTATGCACCAATGACTACTTAAATGATTATAACAGAAATGAAAATATGAATATATACGTAATCAATCGATTTTAATTTTATTTAATTTCATTTTACCAATTATTGATCAATGACAAAATATATTATTTAAGTATTCGGTATTCGGCCGAATAATATGTAGATATTCGGTATTCGGCCGAATATAATAAAAGCAGCCGAATAGGCCGAATACCGAATAGTAACCGAATATTCGTTGCAAGTCTAATACCAACCCATCTGGTCAGCGTGGTATATGTCAACCAGTGGACTATCAAAGTCTGTTGATGATGATGATGGTTAAAATAAATAAAAAAAAGTAAAAAGGGTTTGGAGCTCCTGGTATTCGGTATTAATCAATTCGATTTACAAGTATGCGATCTTAATCTGCTCGTGCTAATTCTTATATTTCTAAATTCATCCTTATAAGCATCATATCCATCTCTTTCCGTTACCTTCTCTTCTTGCCTTTATCTTTCAATGTAGGCCCAACGTCGCTATTACGTGAGACTAAACTACAACCGGTAAGACTTGGTATAAAAGTATATCTTGAAATATTATATTGATATTGATATATTATATACCCCGTATACGGGTATATAATATATATACCCATATACGGGGTAACGTGCTTACATAATTTATAGGTATAGGTATCTCAGAAGATTGAGCTGCCTATCAAACCGCCAATAGCATAGACTATACTCAACCATAACTACGAGTACTCGACTAGCTTGTACGTACGCTACGTAAATCATTATTAGTCTAGTGCGAACGAAGGCCTCCCCCAAGGAGCGCCAGCGTGAATAGGATAGGACCATATTTATGGATAAGTTTGAATGTGTCATGTCTATGTCAATTAACTATTAATTTCATTGCATTTATTTATTCAATTTTGTGATACATAGGTGGTTAGGATGTCAATTTTATTATGTACAAGCTATGTCCCGCCGAAAGGCATACAAAATATTAGGCAATGATATATAAACAAAACAATATTATAATACATCATTGATATTAGGTACATTCTTTAAATATTCTAAGAGTATTGTTTAAATAAAGCATCATCATTTTACATAAACAAAGTCATCAATCCATATAAGTATAGGTATATATTTTAAAGTCATCATCAGTTCAGGTCAAATTAAGTTATAACAGTTTCAGTATATTACAATGTACTCTGTGTTATAATAATAAAAGATAATTAAAATTTATAGTAAAAATAATCAATGAATGTCAATAGTATTGAAATTTGTCATTGAAATATTCGTTTATGGAATAATATGCTTTATTGTTAAAAAAGTCAAAGAGTTTACATTTAAATTCATTAATATTTGTGCTCAATACAATTTGATTTGGCAATTTATTATACAGTTTCGGTGCCATTGCATGTATACTTTTGTGGGCGAAGGAAGTTTTTGTAGGCAGCAAGTGCAACTTATTTAAGCGACGTCGGCTTTCCACAGAGTAAAATAATTTAAAGTTCAGTCTTACAAAAATAACGACCTCATAAATGTAAAGCGATGGTACAGTTAAAAGTTTTAAATTCTTGAAATGTGGTTTACAAGTATCTGTCGGTTTTAATTTACAAATGGCACGAATACATTTTTTTTTGTGCCAGTAATACATCTGATACGTGGGTCGCGTTTCCCCAAAATATAATGCCATATCTCAAAGTGAAGGCGACATAGCCATGGTAGGCTGTTATTAGTGCGGTCTTGTTCGCAATGTTTTGGAGCATATACAATGCGTATGAGAATTGAGACAGTTTCATACATACATTCTCAATTTGTGTTCTCCATGTCATGTCATTATCGATGTATGGCCCCAAAAACTTTGTTATACTCGTTTCATGTATTGATTCTCCCTTATATTTGATTATATTTGTTGCAGAGACGCTGATGGGTCTTTCAAAAGAAGAGTCTCAGAATGTATACAGAATGGACGAAATAGTTGCAGCTACTAGAGAGTTAGTTACATAAATACATACATTTTATAGATAAATTACACCCAGACACAGTACAGATGATCGTGCTCATCACACCATTATAAGTGTATTATTAATTATTTGTCTTTATAGACTCTGTATCTTTTGTCATTCCTAAGTTTTAAATGTGGCTTTGCTTGTTTTTTTTATCGAATTTTTCAATCATCCGTGCATCGGAAACAGCAAGCCTTTGCAGAAACAAGACAACGGGTTGTATCATTAAGGGTCATGGCCTAACAGAAAACCGATGTTAAGTAATTATTTTGTTGCTTTTCACCGAACTAATTTCTGGGGGTAAGGGTAGAGGGGGGGGGGGCAAGTCCAGTAAAACAACACTTGTCTTTCTTGAGTTGTATGTGTCCATGGGCCATTCACTAGCCATTAGGAGACCCGTCTGTTGATTTGCGCTCTATAGCATAAAAACATTTCTTTTCAGTCTCTACGACCTGATCTTCGCAAAGATGACTAAATGGTGGCTCCAAATACCTCTCATATACTGGGTACTTGGATGGAAGAAGACGCAAAATTACTTTATCAAATTGATCAATGATTTTGCCGGTGACATAGTAAGGAAGCGGCGAAAAGCTCTAGAAATATCTACCCATGATGAAGAGAGTATGGGAATAGTGGACCGATATATACTGTCTGGAGAGTTGAGTGAGCAGGAAATCAGATGGGTTACAATGACATTATTTACGACTGTAAGTTATACTACTATATGTTCTCTTTCTCTTACTTTACGAATTGTGTTAAGATCCAGATGCTTAAGTGACAAAATATATAGGTAGGCGATAGGATGGCCACCATCCTATCGCCTACCGCAGTTAATCTACCACCAGAGGTGGCCACCACTCTTGGGCAGCCTGCGGCCCCGTCGACGGCTGATAACGCCGCCGACGACCTCTACGCTCGGGATCGGCCCTCTCAAACAAAATTAGAATCTATAAAAAGACCTCTGAAAAACATACTACACTATGCATATAATTAACTTATGTTAAATTAAATTAGTGCCACCGATAATTTTGTGTATGTTTGTAATGGTCATGTAAGATATCAAGACCCAGTCTGCTCCAGCAGTGTTGCAGTTCGTCTAGTTAGAGGAGCTTTTGCACCCAAGTTGGTTCGGTGTGTCGGTATATCGAAGAACGAAAAAGTATTCCCGATTATAACGTTTGGCCTGGGTACGCAGATCTCTACACGCTCAAGCAGTCTCCGTCCATGTGATAACCATTTTACCACGTTTTATAAAAACAATAGGTCCAGCACCATTATCAACTACGTTACTGTAAGTACTTACACTTAGTAGTATTATAAAAGCAATCACTAATTAAGTTTGCACTCAGTTCAATTAATTATCGAACAACAAACAGAGAAAATTCTCGGAATTTTGCACACCGCACCGTGATAAAATTCCTCGTAAAGAAGGGAAATACACCGAAAGACATTTTTGAAAAGATGTCATCGGTTCTTCAGGATTCTGCGCCTACATATACGATAGTGAAAAAATGGGCCAGCCTATTTCAACAAGGATCAGAGAGCTGTGAAAACGACCCTCGCCCGGGCCACCCTGTCACGTTACTGACCGAAGAAAACGTAAAAAAAATTGAAAAATTCGTTCTGGCCATCCGAAGAATTAAATTGTAGCAGATTGCTGATTAGCAAAGAACTAGTTGGAGAAATTTTATATCAATATTTGAATATGAGAAAAATTTGCGCGCGCTGGGTACCGAAAATGAACAAGCAACGTCGACAGGCAAGTTGCCAAAGATTTCTTGGAGCTAGTCGGCGATGACAAGGAAGACTTTTGGCAACGAATAGTAACCGTAGATGAAACATGGATTCGCCAATATGATCCGAAATAACTATCCTACTATCTATCGACTACCTACCCAGGGGAACTACGATGAATGGCCAATATTACACCAATTTATTGACTCAGGTTCGCGAGGCTATAGTACAGAAACGACGTGGGAAACTGACGCGCGGAGTGCTCTTTCTGCAAAGACAACGCGCCCGTTCACACCGCACATGTTGCGAGGCAAGCCTTCCATATAGCCCAAACCTAGCACCTAGCGATTTTTCCTGTTTTCCAAAAGGACTTACGGGGCCCGGAGATTTGTAGATGACAACGAAATAAAAGCTGCGGTTGATCGTCATTTTGAAGAATATTTTTTGGGTGCCTTTAGCATTGTCTCATTGTCTGACTGCACGGATGGCGTAGTGGTTTAAGCGGTCACCTCGCCGCTTCCTGCTACGCCGAGTATTGTGGGTTCAAACCCCACATGGGACGACACTTTGTGTGATCCACAAATTGTTGTTCTGAGTCTGGGTGTTCTTTGTGTCCGTTTCATGTATGTTTGTAAAGTCCCTCGCGACACAGGAATGTATTTCTAATGCGGGAGTTCTTTTTTAAGAAAAACAAAAAAAGAATTGTATGCGATATTTGAGAAATGTGTTTCACTTGAAGATTTCTTGAAAAATAAAAAATTGAAACTATATATTTTCTTTCATTAAGTATCTTAGGCTGCGGACTTATCAGCCGTCCCACGTAGCACACCCAGGTGACTGATCAAAGTATAGGTAAGAAACTCCTTGTTGTCAGAACGACCTCCTAAACTTCAATAATTCAATTTATTTATTATTATTATTATAGACTATTTTGCTCTGTGTTATTGATTCTGAATTGACGCAATATGTAGATAATAGTGAAAAAGTTTCGCTGTTCTAAAATAATATTATTTCATGAACAGAGTCAAGAAGCAGCAGCTAAAGTAGCTTCGGGTGTTCTGACATTCCTCTCTCACCTTCCTGAATGGCAAGTAAGTATTTTTTTATCATTTCTAAGAACTAATGTTCCTTATGTTCTATTGCACTGAATTCATATTAATCATATCATCATCATTAAGCTTTTAAATTAAAAAAATGATGATAAATAATGAACGTAGAGTTCTAGGAAAGGTACAAGATTAGAATACGCTATAGACCTTAAGAAAATCTTTACTAGGTTATATTATAAAGCTGATGAGTTATTATGTTTATTTGAACGCGCTTATCTCAGGAAATACCGGTTCGAATTGAAAAACTTTTTAATTTTAAGCGTGTAAGCCCATTAATTGAGGCAGGCTATAAACTGTCATAATATAGGTATCCAGGTAACTGTGTACTAAACAACGTAAACTCACGCTGCTGGTAACGAGAAGTGGTTACCGATGCCTATAAAATAAATAAATAAATAAATCATTATCTTACTGTAACAATTTTGGTCTTTTGTAGGGTAAATCTCAAGTTGATCTCAGATTCAATTTGACTATAAATGCTGTACTATGCATCTATAGTCTATGGCGCTGTAACTTTTTCCCGCAAAAAAATGAAACTTTACATTAGCTTATAAGTAGATCTATACTAATATTGTAAGCTGATGAGCTGAGAGGGTTTTCGATATTTTTTCTGCCACCAGTCGGCGCTTCGTATGCGTCAGGTCCAAACAGCTGTCAGATAGCACAGATTCTTACCGAACGTATAATTTTTTAGTGAAATTCTATGAATTTGGAAGTGTTATTGAGTTCATTATAGATTACGGCCAGAGAAAGGTTTGCCGACCTGAAGATTGAGCTCAAAAAGAGAGGCGCAAAAGTTTTATTTGCACACATAGGCACTGCACAACACTGTGGTATTTTAGAAAACAATATTGCTTTTGTAACGTTTTTAAGAATGAATAAACCAAAAAAATGATCGAAAAATACAAATCGTGTATGTGTTTTGACAGTTGTGTTTGAACCTGACGCTACAGTGCTGCCATCTCACGTGGAACATTTCAGAAAACCCTTATTGAAAACTTATTTTAGTGTTAAATAGCCCATTTATTAATATAAGCGATAGGCATTTTGCTACGACTAATAGGAGCCGAGCGTCAGTGAAAAATGTTCCAAACAGTGGGAAAATTTATTCCTATTAGTAGTTCCGAAACAAAGTTTTTGATATCATTCCAGGAACTTGTATACAACGAAATAATTGAAGTACTAGGACCTAATGGGCCTGTAAGCAGTGAACAACTAAAAAAGCTGCAGTATTTAGATATGGTGTACAAAGAAACGCTGCGCTGCTTGTCTATAGCAGCAATGATACAGAGGACAGTAGAGGAAGAGATCTCTATCAATGAAGGTATGTGAGTAAGCATTAAGTTAAATGGTACGTAAAATTATAGTTTTAAAAAACTAAAAAACACGGAAGCGTGTTTTTTAGTGTATTGTCATCGGTCCTCGATATATCTACAAAGTTTGAACGAATTCTGACCGTTTAAAGTCAGTCAAAATCACGCCCAAAGGAGTCGGTTACAAACATACAAACAAACATACAAGTGAAGCTAATATAAAGTGTGTAAAAAGAAATGAACGAATTCAGCGATGTTGTACTCTTACAAACGAATAGCATTTTATTACGTATATAGAAGACAAATGACCCTTTTTTTTTTTCCGTGCGGAAATCCCCTCGGATACCACCTGTCGGTGGCATGTCGGACCCGAACCGACTAAAACCGCACGCCGTCTCGGGTACTAATAGCCGGGGAACCAGGTATACCCTAGAAAGGAAGTCCCTGGTGCCCCGACATACCTCGGGTCATCTACAGACGAGTAGACGACCCCCCCGTGTGGGAAACCCATGTTCCCTGTGCTCCTTGGAAGCGCGCGCGCTTCGCAACGCGCTCGCCGCCACCCCGGCCTGCTTCTGCTAGGGTGAAGACAAATGGCCCTGTATAATCATGATCTTTTTTATGTCTTCACTGCCAATACTGCACGGATAGCGTAATGGTTTAAGCGGTCACCTCTGCGCGGTGTGTTGTGCGTTCGATCCCCACATGGGAGAACACTGTGTGATCTACAAATTGTTGTTTTGAGTATAGAGGTTAAGTAATACCCATAACTTCACATGTCTTTTAATTCTAGGCAAGTTGACACTCCCTGCCGGAACGTCATTGGTGATACCTATTCACCATTTGCATCGTGATCCTCAATATTGGGAAGACCCTTGGACCATAAAGCCGGAGAGATTTCTACCGGAGAATGTGAAGAAACGCGATCCCAATGCCTTCGTGCCGTTCAGCTTGGGTCCCATGGACTGCTTAGGTAAAGTTTGAATATAAATATTTTCATATTAGGTAGTGAATAACTAAGCAGAATTTTTGTTAAGAAAAGAAAAAATAACGTAAAACAAAGATCATGTGTTTTGTTTCAAAGATTATAAGATTATTTAATTTTTATAATGGGTGTTCTTTGTGTCCGTTTTATGAATGTTTGTAAACTCCCACACACAGGACTTATTCCTAGTGCGGGAGTTGCCTTAACATTTTTTTTTAATTACTATTTATATTAATTTCACTAGTGACACAGACAAGTAGAACGTTTACATCTTGATTCTATTTTCAAACGGACATGGCTTAGACATTTGTCAGCAGCAGAAATTTATTTTCTTCCTAAAACTCCAATTGTTACTAAAAACTCCAACTTCCCATTAGGAGTGCCAAAGATGTTCGTATTGCAACCTGGACCGACGGCTTTACGTGCTGTCTGAGTCTCAAATGGCTATTAATGTGTTCAGAATGGTCACCCATCCATAGACTGACCTGGCTAGGATGGACTTTGTAATGTGTTAACCTACTTGGTTACCACTTAGCCACGAGCCCCGCTCATTGTTATTTTAACGTATTTCTTTTCTTTCTAGGTAGAGTATACGCAACGGCACTCGTAAAGACTATTATAGTGTGGGTACTAAGATACAATCGTTTGGAGCCGGCGGGTTCTGTGGAGGATCTAAATAAGCTGCATGTCGGGGTATCGGTCTCTATAGCGGATGGCTACAACGTTAAAGTTCAACCAAGGAAAGCGGCACTAGTTGAAGGATTTGATTACCGAAAATAAAATTGTCTTCCTCTAAGAGTTTGTGTTTTATAAACTAAACATTGTTAAAGCTTCGGTAAAAATGTAAAACCTTCCATACATCTATACAAATAAATAAATTTGGAGTGTCTGTTTGTAATATTAAAATAACCGCTTTTTACTAAATGCATATGTTTACACGGTACATATGCCAAAATAACATGTATTTCAATTTTTGTCTGTCTGTCTGTTTGTTCCGGGTAATCTCTGGAACGGCTGGACCGATTTCGACGGGACTTTCACTGGCAGACAGCTAATGACATAAGGAGTAACTTAGGCTACTTTTTTTAGACTAGCTTCCCCTCGCGGCCTTGCCCGCGGTTATAACAACCAACGCGGGTAAAACCGCGGGTCTCAGCTAGCATTATATAAACGTGAAAGTGAGTTTGTTTCTTACGCTTTCACCCTTTAACCACTAAAAAGATTTAAAAAATTATTTTATCATTGAAAGCTACATTATCAGCGAGTAACATGGACTACTTTTTACCGCGATAATTGACATATACGCGGGTGGAGCATAGTGTAAAACTAGTAAAGTTTATAATTTTAACCCTAAGGACGTTTTCTTTCTGTCATCCATTAACACCGTTCAAAGTCTGATCATTCAAAGAAATCATTGCTCTCGCTGTTCAATAAATGGGCACTTAGAATAAACGTAAAACTAAATACATGATTGTGTATTGTACGGTTTGTTTTTTTTTGCTAATTGGACCCAAAGAACGACTGGAACCATATTAGCAAAAGTCTGCTATAACGCTCCCATCAGAACTTTTCTTCTCCACATCAATAAAGAACAATAAATAACAGCGTAGGCATTATAAGATCGTACTATTTATTTAAAAAAAATAATAAACTCAGTTGCTCAATGACAATATTTTATATTAGTTCTCTTATATTAGGTTTCGTCAGATTTGAATAAAATAAATATCTCTTGCTAAATATAACTAATTAGTACCTAAAGTGTAACGTGTCAGTGTTACCCTTCAGGGGTTACCCTATTCATCCCGTGGGTGTCGTAAGAGCCGACTAAGGGAGAAAACTACGCAGGACAACAGCGTCAATGGCACTGCGAAAATAGTCTATGTTGGTATAAGTCTATCTCCTAAGGACAAAACACAGTAACCATTTTTATCTTTTTACTTGAGTATTGCAAAAAATAAAGGGTAAATTACGATGCTATTTTGAACAATACAGTATTATTCCTTAACCAAATAAATACGTTAAATACGGTGTGCATTTAATGTAGATTAAAATTACCTTTTACAGCATAACACTAAAGTAAATATCTTAGTAGATATTACGTCCGTCCCGGGTGGTAGCGGCCGGCAGGAGCGCAGCTGGCCTATAAATATTGCATATTATTGTAATGATATCCTGTAGTATAGTCTTTACATAATAATAATAGCAGATATGAGTATGTAGGTACTCCATACTGACACCACATTAGTAGTAGTATCCACTGCACCCTTGCGAAGCAGAGGCAGATCGCTAGTGTTAACTATAAAATATAAAACAGTGCAATATTGCCAACTGTTGAACGCGACATAAACAAATATGTATATGACTTTAAATCATAATTAAGTGCGTTTTTATTTATTTATTTATTTAAGTAAAATTATGAGATCACAGTCTCACAATCAAAACGCTTATTTGCTATACTACATTGGATCAGATATACAGGCCACAGATCATTATACAAAACAATACTTACTTAAATAATAATATATTCTTTGCCCACTGACGCTAATAAAACCCTGAGTACATAGCTTGCTCGGCACAAGGCTAGCATAATAATTATGATCATTAAATGCATCAGTATTCGGTTCACATTCTTAAGCGTGATGAAAATGAGTGTAGTCTGTGAAATAGACCAATAAGGGCTGTACTTTAAAGGAAAACGCTATTAACTTTAAGCTCGTCATTCTTTTCTGCGCTCATTTGTTATTTACCTACATATCGTTTAGGCTTTTGACATATAAAATTAACAAATTAATTATTAAAATTTTCAAATGTAATAGTCGGATTCAGTCACTCTAATGCTCTGTCCATGAGGAGTATTTAAGCAAAACATTCATTCTATTGCCGTCCACAACTGAACGAAAGAAAGAAAGAAACATTTATTTGCAGAGAATACAGGTGGTACCAGATTTTATAAAGGTGTATAATGTTCAAGCTATATAACGAAGACAAGAAGCGCCAACCATCCTGGTCTTGGCAGTACGCATCAATCCGCTGCCACCCAGTTCAAGTCGTCGGTCCATAGTACCACAGGGCGCCCTAAATTACTTTTGCCTAATGGCAGTCTCCGCTCTAACTCATATGGGTTACAGCGATCATCAGTCCGCCTGAAGACAAAACAAGCAAGACATTAACTGCCAATTCAGTTCCAAAAAAAAAAAACTAACAAAAATAAAATATCAGCTATAAGTTTGCTTGGTTTTACGCCTTACAATATGTACCACAATCGTAACGAAGTTCACGCAATCGAAAACAGTAGCTTATTATTCCTACCACGTGTTTACTAACTAACAAACAAAATAAAGGAAAGTCACTCTATGCTTTAAGATGACCTGGAAAGATTACTTGAAAACATTAATGTATGTCACAAACATACGTGTTAGGTACCTTTATTACGAGGTTATTTTGTAATTTGTGTAAGCATTAGATGTTGAAAGCGAGATTTGTATTTAAAATAGTAGGCATACCTTTCAAAGTCGTGACCAAACCCTGGGATAACTGGAATTTCACTAAACTTTTCCGAAATTCAAATGTAACTTTTCTAATGTTCTGGAACAAATATGTACATTCAAAGTTGTCGAGAAACGCCCGGAACAAGACTACTTAAAGCACTTCTCAGAATTTGTCTTAGATTTGCGAAGTTTGTTTGGCTTTGACTTGACTTTTTTGCTGCATTGAAATCTGTGCTTGTACCGACTCAAATATTTATTCACAACATGTTTAATAATAATAATAATAATAATTGAAAATATATTAGAACTTCAGGAATATTATTTCTCAATAATTTTGTGACGTTAAATTTCGAATCCTCATCGCAATCGGGCCGCTATGCCGCAATCGAGGGGTGAAAAGTATTTTGCAGGGGCAGAAGATTCCGGGCACGCCGTCATCGTGGCGGTAAGACCCGTTATGGAGGATTGGCTCGAGAGGCGTCACGGGACCCTCTCATACCGACTGACGCAGGTGATCACTGGGAAAGGATGTTTCGGGGATCACCTGTGTCTGATCCGCAAGGAGCCAACGCCTGAGTGCCACCACTGCGATGGCCAGATCGTGGAATGGCTCTCCACACGCTGGCAGAGTGCCCAGCGTGGGTTGAGCAGAGGCGAGACCTCGTGGCGGCCATCGGAGTGGGAGTTCTATCGCTCGATAGCCTGATTGCGGCTATCGTGCGGAGCGAGAGTGCGTGGAACTCTGCCGTCTCCTTCTGCGAGCAAGTTATGCTCGCGAAGGAGACGGCGGAGCGGGACCGGGAGAGGTTTAGGACTCTCCCGGCCTGCCAGGCCCGGGAACGGGCCAGGTACCGCAGGCGACTCAAGCGCCGGAGGTCGCAGAACGACCTCCGTCCTCCATAAGCGCAGGCCTGGGGGTGACAGGTGAGGCCGTCTGTCACCCTAGCAGAAGCAGGCCGGAGTGGCGGCGAGCGCGTTGCGATGCGCGCTCGCTTCCAGGGAGCACAGGGAACATGGGGTCCCCACACACGGGGGGGGGGGGGGGTCGTCTACTCGTCTGTAGATGACCCGAGGTATGTCGGGGCACCTGCGGTTTTAGTCGGTTCGAGTCCGACATGCCACCGATAGGTGGTATCCGAGGGGATTTCAAAAAAAAAGGGGCAGAAGATTCAAAGGGAAGCGCTTTTTTGAAATATTTTTTTTTTAATTTGCGTTCACAACATTTTAAGCAACACAATTAGTTTCATAATTTTTTTAAGATAGACTTGCACAAAGACGAACGTCCAGAAAGACATTTGTTCTCTATGATTGTTGCTGCAACCCCTTAGATATGTTTTGTTCTTGTTCGCCTTAAATATGCTCACAGAGCGCGAAGATATTATTATTATTCTCTTTATTCGTTTTATACCCATATTAATTATATTTTTAAACATACACTTAAAAAAAAAAAAAAAAAAAAAATACTAGACATCGAACACCAAGTCGGACCAAGACACCAGTGGACACAAGCACTCCAAAGACAGGAACCTCCTTACCATACGGCCCGTGTCAAAAGAGAAGGAAAACTGGACACAAATCCTTTTTTTTTAACGTGTGGGAACCCCCTCTTCCCGTCGGTGGTGTGTGGGAATCGAACCGACTAAAACCACACGGTGTGCCACTTCGCGCCTGAGATAGGAGGGATCCAGGAACAGCTGATTTTAAGACATTCAGTCCCCTCCCAGCACCTGCCCGCAGCGGCGCGGGCACCACCTTAAAACTCTCTATTTAGGTGACGTCGCCTCCTCGCGTCTGGCCACTTTAGCGGATGGAGGAGAAAACCCGTCTTGTCCACCCGCAGTCACACTCAGGGCGGCATAAGGCGCTGGTAAGCGCGCCTACGCAGCCCGGTTCGCCAGCGGCAAATTGGGTTCGAGTGGAGGTAATCCTCCTGAGCCCTCTCCGCCGCCTCCTTCTGCGATATGACGTCTTCGCAGAAGAATGCGCCCGCGGTAAAACATCTGTCACTATCGGCCATGGAGCGTATGACGGCCCGTAGCGAGAGATTCCCTCCAATGACTGCAATAAGGACCAGACGCTGCGATGCGCCCCCCGGTCAAATTGCCAGCGTGTGCTGAGCTGAGTATGTGTGTATAAATTTCTAAATACATATATGTCGGCGCGAAAACGTTTCCTTATGATTTTAAGCATTGTGAAATGTAATTGTTGATAATAAAGTCAATAATAAAATGTTATTTATGTTCTAATATTGGGCGACTAACACTACGTCCATTTCACTGTAAAAATAATTATTTGAGTAAGTCGTTTAATTAAGTCATTTTTAAGCGGAATGCTCTGTGTTATTTTTAATTACAATTTAAAGCTTTTTGCTGCCCCATAATTCTTATAATAAAACATAGAATTAAATGATAACAGATGGTGAGCAAAGTGGTGTTAATAATTGTTTTTAAATAATTGTGATTATGAGTCTAACCTGTAAACATCCGCTTTACACAGTTGAATTACAATTATGTATTATCATCAACAGCTTTTAATAGTCCACTGCTGAACATAGGCCTCTCCTTAGAAAGAAGCCTACTATAGCACGCCAGACGGGTTGGTATAGGGTTTGTGTCAAGTTTTCCTTCTTTTTGAGGTGCTGGTATCCTGCGTTGTCTTGCGCCCTTAGTCGGCTCTTACGACACCCACGGGATGTTGGTAGTGACATTCCGTATTCTTAATACGTTACTACACGGACTCAGTTATGTATGTGTAATTTTATAAATTCTCATAATTTAATTAGACAATTATTAAGTTTTATAATGAGGCGTAACACGTTTGTTTTGTAAAGGTTAACCTAAACCAACGACATCCGGAATGTAGCAACTAACTTTACCGACATTAACATTTAATATTCGTTGGTCTTCTTTAGGACTAACACTTTTGCTCGAGCATAGAGCGAGGAAGGACAAGCTGCAAATAAGTTAAGCGTCTAGGTATTCTATCTAAAAGTATTGTGAATAGTCGTTTATTATTATTGCAATAAGTTCTGTTGTTTCATGTTGTGTAGATAAATCGGTGCATGTGATCGAGTGTATAATACCTAATAATTGATTTTTTGGTGGTTTTATTACTTTCAATCATGAGTGATACCAATGAGATAAGGCATGGATTTTGCGAGGGTGACGTCACACTTTCCGTGAAGATAGAAATGATTCCGCGCTTCCAGGGCCGTGATATATAGGTGTTACAAAAAAATTAGTGTGTAGTTTGGCAAGACGTCACACAATTGTCACAGTTTTTAATTTACTCTTATAATCATAAAGTTGTATATAGTCATTCATTGTTTATTTGTACCGTGTTACACGCATGATACAGAGCTATAATGGTAGGAACAATAAGCTGTTACTTCAGGGTAGTCAGTGTTGAGTACTGTGTGTGTTAGTTATGACGTTGTTCGGTAAGCAATGAGGTAAGTGCCACAAATAAGGCCTACCAAACACTCGTATCTTGATAAATATTTGAAGAAAGTCATAAATAAAAGCAAGGTATTATTCTTTGGTTTATAAATTTTTAATCTTTAAAAATATATATTTTGATATTTTATTGAAAATCACTTAAACACAGGTAGTACTGGACTCCTGAGTTCATGGACGACGATGGTCACTTTCTATCAGGTGACCCGTCTGCTCGTCTGCCATCTCTAATATAACTTTAAAAAAATAAACCTTTAGCTTTTGGTCTATTTAAAACATGGTGATTTAATCTATATCTATACAAATAAATAAAATTGGAGTGTCTGTTTGTAATATTAAAATAACCGCTTTTTACTAAATGCATATGTATTTTTACACGGTAAATATACCAAAATAACATTTTTTACAATTTTTGTCTATCTGTCTGTCTGTTTGTTCCGGGTAATCTCTGGAACGGCTGGACCGATTTCGACGGGACGTTCACTGGCAGATAGCTGATAAGTAGGAAGTAGACATAAGGAGTAACTTAGGCTACTTTTTTTAGACTAGCTTCGCCCCGCGGCGTTGCCCGCGGTTATAACAACAAACGCGGGTAACACCGCGGGTCTCAGCTGTATAGTCTATAAACTTAAATTATATGAATTACTAGTTACATTTCGGTATAACAATAGGCGGTCTTATCGCTCACAGCGATCTCTTACAGACAACCTTTATACGGATATTGTCAAAAAAATTAGCTGTCATCTATGTGTGTGAGAAGTATTTTTGATGTAGATATATTTTTTTAAAGACTTCGGCACTACAGGCCTTAATTGAGCATGAGCTTTATTTGTATGAAGTAAATTTAAATTTAAAAACTTTAAATTTAAAACTTTAAATTTAATGTTATTTGAACCTTGCCTTGTATATGTGAAAATAACGTAATAGCACTTATTACAGATTTTGAGCAATTTTAATTTTAATTTTTAAAACGTCAATAAATAATAAGTACTTGCCATGTTAGTGCATGCCAATGATTCAGGATGATATTTATGTCACTTTTATACCTATGTGCACGTACATACGAAGTGTATACAATGTACTTATGCATATTTTAAGATAATTTTTTTACATTATTATTGACTCCAAATCAATTCACGTGTCCAATCTCATGTCAAAAGATCGCGTTGCGAAATGTGCTTAAACTATGAATAGTTTAAGCACACAAACTTAATAATGTGAATATTAACACACATTATTATCACTTGGACGGGATGAAGTAAATTTTATATCTTAAAATATTTTTTATTTTACAATTCATTGTACGGATAATTTATATCCTTCGCTGTGGTGTGGTGTGGATGTGTGACACAATCCTTATACCTACCAAACCGTCTGGTCAGCGTAGCATACTCGTAGTAGGCAAAGGCCTGCGTTCTAAGGATAGGTCGAAAAGCTGTTGATGTTATGTGATATCCTTCGGAACAGCTGTCATCAAAGTATTAGGAGACTTTTTTTGTGCGGATACCCCTCTGATACCACCCACCGGTGGATATGTCGGACTCGAACTGACCAAAAACCCCTATGTCCCCTTTGTGCTCTCGAAAGGGCGCGCGCTCTCCGCAGCACGTCTCGCTACCACCCCGGCCTGCTTCTGCTAGAGTGACAGACAGCCTCACCTACCACCCCCAAGCCTGCGCTTATGGAGGACTTAGGTCGTTCTGTGACTTTCGGCGCCTGGGTCGTCTGCGGTGCCTGGCCCGTTGCCGAGCCTGGCGTGCCGGGAGAGCTCTAAATCACTCCCGGTGCCATTCCGCCATATCCTTTGCTTGCTATAACTTGCTCGCAGAAAGAGACGGCGGAGTTCCACGAACTCTCGCTGCGTACCATGGCAGCAATAATGTTACCGAGCGAGAGAATTCCCACTCCGATGGCCGCCACGAGGCAACGCCTATGCTCCACCCATTCTGACATTCTGCCAGCGTGTGGAGCGCCGTGTCCACGGTCCGGCCATCGCAGTGGTGGCACTCAGGCGTGGGCTCCTTGCGGATCAGACACAGGTGATCTTCGAAGCATTCTTTCCCGGTGATCACCTGCGTCAACCGATATGAGAGGGTTCCGTGATGCCTCTCGAGCCAATCCTCAAGGGGTCTTACCGCCGCGATAACGGCGTGCCCCAACTCTTTGGAGCACGTCTTGTTTTTTACCAGTCTAAAGAATTAAAACTTTTAAACATTTTTACTACAATTTCCCTGTAATTTACTTAATTTTTAAGAAAATCAAAGTACTTGTTTTTTTGTAATCGGAATGCAAAATCGGTTAAGTAGTTAGGCTCGAAAATATAACAGACGAACAAAATGTCTTTTACATTTAAACGAGTTAGGATAAGGATTAGTGGTCCTAATAGTGGTACTATGAAATGTCTTGATGACTATTAAATAAGGCACTAAATGATTTTCGTATTTCTTTTTCAGGATGTACTGGCCACTTTACTTAATAATAGGTGGACTGGCAACCTTATGGTTTGTCTGGAGGTACAAACACAGGAGAATGATAGAAATAGCACAGAAGTTACCTGGACCGCCCTCAATCCCTCTAATAGGGAATGGCCATCAGTTTATTTGTAAACCAGAAGGTAAGGACTATTTATTATGCTTATTTACCCATTTATATAGAGAAGGAAAACTTGAAACAAACCCTATACCAACCCGTCTGGCCAACGTGATATAGGTAGTATGCCAAAACCTCCTTTCTAAGGAGAGGCCTATGTCCAGCAGTGGACTATTGAAAGTTCTTTATGTGATGATGTGATGATGTGATTTACCCATTTGACAAGTCAAGTACCCCGCAAGGCAACGACAGGAGAGACAATCGTTTAATATAATAACAGTATAATACAATAAAACAACAATATTTTATATATAATAGTTATACAAATTTATAGTTTATTTTTAAAGCCAAGAAAGTAACTACTATTAAATATTAATTAAATAAAACCAATTTAAAATTTGTAAGAGCCGACTAAGGAAGCAAACTACGCAGGACAACAGCATTACAAAGAAAAGGGCAACTTGACAATCTTGTTCATATTGATGTACCTAGAATAGATTTACAAGTAACATACGAATACGAATATATAACGTACGAATATATCACATAGCGTAATGGCCGTGATTGAAGCTTTTTCCAGTGTACTTTATAATCCAATGGATTGCGAAATCGTAAATAGCCTGTTCACAATTGAAAAATTAAAATATTGATATATATTTTTTAATACTTTATGCATAAGTGCAATGGCGGACTTAATGCCTCAGGCATTTCTCCCAGTCTACATTAGGGTGGTGCTGAAATGTGAGACGGTGCACTAGAGATTGATAAGTAAAGTAAGGGAAAACTATTGAGAAGTTAGATAGAAACACTGAGATAAATACATACATACAATGGTACCAAATACATACACATACATACTTACCAGCTAGGTAACATACATACATAAACCTACATATTGATAAATACACAAAACTTTAGCTATAAAATAATTAGCAAGACAATAAACAGTAAGAACCTCGGCAAGTGCTAGACCGTAGAGATCAAGCACAATTAATTCACGATTATCTAAGATAGAAATAATATTATAATTCAAAGCCGATACGTGTAAGAAATCACAGGCAAATATGACATCGACGTGTTTTATTATTATGTTAATTGCACACCAACCTCACGTCTTATTACTCATAAGGGGTTATAGGTTATAGGGGTTATAGGGGTTATAGGGGCATACATAGGCGTTTAATAATAACACTTTATTTACGCAAAGATATACATATTTGAATACACTGTTGATGAGAATTTACAAATTTTGTATTTGAGATGTGGAACTCTGCCCCTTAAACTAGGTGAATTAAGTGTATCGTAAGAGACAGTACTTATTCAGCCTTACAGATTCATCTTTTATTAGTTTTATTGTAGTTAAGATGTATTTTTGCTTGGGAGTGATTTTAAACTCCCGTATATTTAAAAAAGTGAAAGTAAGTGAACTGGAAAAAACTGGGTTAAATTAAGTAAATGTTCCTCCACGGAATCATGGCCAAGTCTTGTACAATAATATTCATCATGGTATTGCGAGTGCCGCGAAGTTGCGCGGTAGCCCGTCGTTTATTTAACGACGGGCTACCAACCTTTACAACGCCTTTACACTAAAAACACATTTTTAAAAATCTCACGTGAGATTGGGCAATGGAGTGGGTTGCAACATATCTCACGACATCTCACCAGGGGGCGGATGTCAGAAAATCGCCGAAAACCCCTCACGTAATTAATGGACGCCCTATTACAAACTAAGCAGAGCTTGTACTATGAAATCTAGAATGACCGATACAATACATATATGCTTTTTTTTATGGAAATCCCAAACGCCCAAACTCCGAAACAAATATTTGTAGATCACATAAACATTTGGTCCGAGGTAGGTATTGAACCCGAGTCATCAGCACAGCAGTCGTATACGCTACATGCACCACCAGTCAATATAACGGGTAATTTTTGAAATGCCTTGCAATAAAATATTACTGATTACCGATACTAATACTGCCTTGCATATGGTATTATCTCGTCGACCAGAGGGCTTTTTGAAGATTCAGTGAGGAACTTGTCCTGTGAATCAAAATAATATCATTTTGACAATGTTATACAAATTATATAAATACAAATAAACACAGCATCTATATATTCATATCTCATTTTCATCAACACCCTCTAACAGTCCACTGGACATTGGCCTCTCCTTAAAAATAATGTTTTGGCCTACTATGCCACGCTGGCTAGGCGGGTTGGTAAATAAATGATAAGTAGGTTGGATATGGCGGTCATCCCACCAGTTGTCTACAACAATGTGACTATACCTTTTAGAGCAGAGGTAAAGAACCTGGGGTTATACATCGACTCGACACTTTACTGGCGGGCACAAGTTACACACGTCAGCCAGAACATCACCACTTGTCTCCGCGCCTCATATCGTTTGAAGAACTTCCTTCCCGCTAAAACTAAGGCTACGCTTATGCAGTCCTTAATTATTCCCTTGATCGACTATGGTGATGTGTGTTATTTTGACCTGAACGCAGACCTTCTCAATAAATTAGATCGCCTTCTCAATAACTGCATTCGATTCGTTTTCAATTCGCAATTGCAAGTATGTCTGCTTTCCGTTCACAGCTGCAATGGATAGAAAATCATCAGCGCCGCAGTATGCGAGCACTGACTTCACTCTTTTCTTTCTTCAACTCTCCATCGTTACCTGAATACCTCGTAACAAACTTCCGTATCTTATGCTCCAATCACAATCAAAATCTTTTGTCAACAAACAACCAACCAACAACTTCTTCTATGCCTCCCTCATACCTCCAACTTCATTAACTCCTCCTTCTACGTCTAGTCAGTTCTTCTCTGGAATGCCCTCCCTACTGAAATCAGGATGTCCACAAACCGCCTTGCATTCAAGAGAAAAGTGTGCGATCTGATCCGACTTTATTAAATTTACGTAGGTTTATGTATGTATTTGTGTTTATATGGTTATTGTGTATATCTCTGTAATTTAATATTATATTTAGCACCTGCCGCATCATATTTCTACATCACCTGAAGGTTGACTGGGAGAGAATGACTCATGGCATTAAGTCCGCCTTTGTACAACATGTGCATTAATTTTTAAATAAATAAATAATTTTAAATATATTTTTTATTCTTTTCAGAACTAATTATAGTGATTAAGAAAATGATAGAGGACTACGGAGATGTAGTGACATTTTGGTTGGGACCTAACCTCAATTTTATTTTAAGTAAACCTGATGACATCAAGGTACGATATTTACACCATTACATATATACATGGTTTTTGTTTTCCTAATTTAACATCAATTTGAAGCGCAACATTCTGAAAAAATATTCCTCCAACATCCATTACAGGCAACTGAATAAAAAAATATAAAACTCTTAAAACAATAAGTTTTAACCTAACAAAATTCTCGATGTCAAGTGTTTTTAGATCATTGTTAAGATTTTTACATAAATGTGTTGCTATTAATGTTTCAATCTCTCCACTGGCAATGACAATAACTAAATCCGAATGAGCGTGCCTAACATTTTATTTTACCTTTAACTAACAGTTTATTTCAGATTCTACTATCAAGTTCAAAGACTAGCGTCAAGGGTCCTCAATATAAGTACATGGCTGATGTACTTGGTGGTGGTATATTAAGTGGATCAGGTATGGCTGAAACTTAGTTTCTACAAATTAAATGATGATTAACCTTTCGTCTTGAAGTTCACACATCACACACATCAACAGCCTTTAATAGTCACCTGCTGGACATAGCCCTCTCCTTAGAAAGGAGGTTTTGGCGTTTTTAGTACGTCCCATTCGGTCTAGAGGTTAGCGATACTGACTGCTAATCCTGACAAATATTGTGTGACGATTTATGCCGTGTTTGGGTGTCATTTATTTATTACTAGCGACCTTTGCGACATCATGTATGACGTCACATTACAAGTCTCTGGCTTTTTCTCTACTATAATATGCAAACCAATTTTCCTTTTTTATATCGAAGTGGGGGCAGGTGAGCAGACGGGTTCACCTGATTCTACATTATAAAATCAAAATCGGTTCGGTGGGCGAGCCATGCCTCGACCGGCGTGAAACCGCGGCCTCGAACAAAACTAATTACTAAGCAACTATTGTTCAAAATCATAAATGGTCTTTATTATTTATATTTTTCTTAAATAGTCTTATAGAACAATTCTATATAACAATTTTATGACAAAATTTATATTCGGATATGATACTAGAAATAATCTGCTATTTTAATTAGTATTATAGTTATATACAGTGTACTGATTTCGCCAAGGAATATATTAAATTCTTACAATTCGCACAAAAAACAAAAGAATAAGAAATACCCATTCGTCATTCTTCAAGCTCCCGTCTATTTATATATTATAAAATCAAAATCGGTTCGATGGGCGAACCATGCTTGGATCGCACTGTTTAGTTATCTGTCACCGAGTGAGTAAGGTTACTGACACCAGAACCCAGAAAGGGTTCCCCTATCAGTGACCTCTCCTTAATTCTAGAGGTGAAGCTCAATCAAAGAATCAAGAACATTGGCAAAGAATGGTATGCAGACTATTAAATAATTTAAGCTAAAATTAAAAATCCAAATTACAGGACCACAATGGCGAAAGCACAGGAAAATAGCTGCTCCTAATTATGGTAAACGAGCTATAGAAAGTTACAACAATGTATTCAACAAAGAAGTAGATTTACTGCTGGACAAATTAAGAGCGATGCCCGAGAAACCATTCGATATATACACATTGATTGTACGATGCACAAGCTATTCTGTTTGCCGTAAGTTTTCTATTAAGTAAGTTTCTTTTCTATTAAGTTTCCTGAAAGCGCAAACCTGTGTCTTTTTGGGGTTAAAATGGACCAGATTCAGTCGACCTAAAGCTGAAACCTACGCTAAAAAAGCGTCAACTTCAGACACAAGTTCGTTTCGACTCTCGATGACGTTTACTCGATGATGGTATAAAAGGCATCGCCCGTGCTATCATCTGCATAGCAGTAGACGCCACTAGTTCGTAACATATCATTGATATGCAGAAGAAACAGTGTGGGTGATAGCACACAGCCTTGCGGGACACCAGCATTTACTGACTTCAAGTCGGAGCATGCACCGTCGATAATGAAATTAATGCTTCTACCTGCAAGGAAACTGCTGACCCTGTTACATAATTTCTCGGGAAGCCCATGAGAAGGGAGCTTCGAGAGAACCACACCCGATCAAAGCTTACCGCACAAGCCTCTCCCTTGGTCTCGTTCGCCTGTGCCCACCGGTGTGTTATGTAAACGAGATTATTACCAGCTGAGCGACCCCAGCGAAAACCATATTGTTTCTTATACCATATTTTTCTTAGTACCGGTGGAGCTAGCAGTTCATTACAGGTTCCATAATCTTAGAGAACAAGGGAGTTATAGCTATAGGCCTGATAATGTAGCTAACCATCGGTGAGAGAATGTTTAAAATCGGTTTAGTGGTTTAGGCGTGAAAGCGTGAAACATAAACAGACGTTTATAATATAAGTATGGATAATATAAGAATGGAAGTACGGATAATGGATACGTATAGATTAAAATTATCATAGACCAAAATATTAGGTCATATTTATCTATCCTCAAGTCTTAAGAAAGTATTTTTAAATATAATAAGTTGTATAGTACCCTAGGTTTAACCGTGAAGAAATGCCTTCCTACAAATGGGCCGGTTCGAACGGAGCGATCCCACGGCCTCACTGGTGTTTAACAACTTAACCTAATTCTTAGGGGTATTCGAAGGGCAACAACGCATCTGATGATAGTCACTTACTATCACTTACTATCAGTGGTTTAAGCGGTCGCCACACCGATTCCTACTGCGCTGAGTGTCGTGGGTCCGATCCCCACATGGGACACTACTTTGTGTGATCCACAAACTGTTTTTCTGAGTGAGGGTGTTCTTTGTTTCCGTTTCGTGTAAAGTCCCCCGCGACACAGGAGGATATATTCCTTATGCGGGAGTTGTCTTCCCTTTTTTAAATAGCCTTTGTTTCCATTCTTACGAACCTCTTTTATGTACACAACAACCTTTAGTTGTCTAATGCTAGACATAGGCCTTAGAAAGGAGGTTTTGACCTACTATAGCACGCTGCTCAAACGGGTTGGTATAAGGTTTGTTTCAAGCTTTTCTTCTCTTTGCAGTGCTGTTGTACTGCGTAGTTTGCTCCCTTAGTGGCCTCTTACGACACCCACGGGATGAATAGAGGTGGTGACACTCTGTAGTCTTCATCCCTCACCACATGGACATTTTTTTTGTACCACAGTATAATTTCAGGAAACAAAAACCTATTCACCTCTAATAGGTTCTTGTTCAACAAGTTCTATCAATTTGTACTTTAAGATACCTGTCTTAAAGTATAGATTGACAGAACTTGTTCTACAATAAATATCAAACTTTTTATTTGATTATTCTATTATATTTGTTCTTCTTATTTTTCAGAAACCTTAATGGGTGTAACAAAAGAACAGACCTCTAAGCTACCTCACATAGAAGAAATTATCGACAAAACTCCTCAGTAAGTAAGCTTTTGACAGTTTTGACATCTAATTACCCATGTAATAATTTAGTACGTCTAATAATTTCATTTTACCGCCATATGACTGACACATATGAGCCGGCTTAGAGTAACACCACGGCCTCACAGAAAACTGGTCTTAAGCAATTATTTTATTGCATTTTACCGAATGAATGATGTTAGGTGCTAGAATCCCAACCGTCCTTCGTCTCCTGTCTTTGAGCTACAGGTGTCCAGGGGCGTCAGTAAAGTGACTACGTTGTTCCGTGACCCGCCTGCTCGTTTGCCCCTTTACTGTATAAAAATAAGTCCATTGTTTGTATAAATAATTGTTGGTATCTGTATATTAATACGTAAAGACAATTCGTTGTGCCTTATCGGGAATTAGACACGGTAATTATTGCTACTATTAAATCATTATCGTATGATGAACTGATTGGTTTTATTCACTGCGTTTTCACCTGTGATTGCTATTTGGTCTTTGGAGATATTTATTTTTATGGAAGAGGCGGTAGACGAACAGACGGGTCACCTGATGGAAAGTGACTACCGCCGCCCATAAACGCCTGCAACTGAGGAGTCACAAACGCGTTGCTAGCCTTTTAGGAAGGACTACGCTTTTTTCTTTAATGCCAACTTATTTTTATCAAAGATTACAACTTTTTTTTGGCTTTAGATCTTTCACGAGTCTGATGCTAGCGTAATAATAATAATACCAGTAAGTCGCAGTGGGTTTAGTTTGATTTTTAACAGGTGATTGTGAGATTACTCTATCCCTATTGGGAATACTTAATTATGAGTGCAAAAAACTAGATTTTCAAAAAAAATGTTAAAACATCCAGGATATATTTTAGCCTGTCATGATACAAAATTCTATACAATAAGAGTTCAAGTTATAGGTACTACTCAAGAATAAGAACAAGACATTCATCATTCCACCGCCAGGTAATTCCTAGTTATAAGTAAAGTAAAAATATCATTTGTTGCAGACATTATGACATAGTATTCGATAGGATGACAAAATGGTATTTACAAATCGATCCGGTATTCTGGATGAGCAAAATCTATCAACAGCAGAAGCATTTTCTAAAGTTAATTTCAGAATTTAGTCTTGAAATCCTTAAGCATAGAATAAACAGACTCAAAACTTTAGAAGACCACAACAAGAAAATTCTTTTGGATCCGGATCAAGATTCGGTGATCAATACGGAACTAAGTGTGATAGATAGGTTTATATTATCTAAAGAATTTACTCATAACGACCTGATATCAGAGACTTTTACCATATTTACATCGGTAAGTGATAGCTTTGCAAAATGGAATAGAATAATCTTTATTGTACACCAACAATCTTTTGTTTCTTAATACTTCACATTAATAAACATGTATAAATGGCGGCGGCCCTATCACTAAAAAGCAGTTTCTTACAGGCAACTTTTGGATAAACAAAACGACTTGAAATATAAATATATTTAGAATCCTCCAATAACTATTGATGATAAGTAGCCGGATTTGTTATAGATATTACACTAATTGTTGTTGTTACAGAGTCAGGAGGCGTCAGCTAAAATATCTTCATTCATTTTACTTATGATGGCTTACCATCCAAAGTGTCAGGTAATTAAATATTCCTGTAGCTGTTAAACACGTCTAAATATTTGTAAAGTACCAAAAAACCAGTAGGTACATATAAGATATACATGTCTTGTTTATATATATGTTATAATTCCAAATGTTACAAAAATGAAAAAGATTATTGTTTGGTTTTGCAGGAAAAACTCTACGCCGAAATCAAAAGGGTGATAGGAGATGAAGACAGAGCGGTCTCTAATGATGACTTAAAACAGATGCCATATCTAGAAATGGTTCTTAAAGAAGTGTTACGATTGTTTCCTATCGGTGTTATGTTACAGAGGACCATACACGAAGATATTAATATAAGTATGTATACTACCTGTACATATGAACACGAGCGATTCCATTTTTTTTATTCCTTAATCCTTCCTTCACAGAATTTTAAAACTACATTTACATGAATTTTATTCTATTCATAATTTTAAGTTATTCAATAAAAACTCAATTATTTGGAAGGAGTACCCATACAAAGAGTATGTTTCTGAGTATAAAGAGATATATGTATGTATATCAGACCGAAGAGAGAAATTTCGGCGAAACCGCTGCGACGAAAACTGTGTTATTTACAGAGTTGCGAGAAATCGGTGTAACCAGCTGGTGCTAAACGCTGCCATATTCTTAACGACCTTAATTGCACAACTGCTTCAAGTATCTGGAGGTTCCTAGGGACCTTAGGTATAGGCAAGTCTGAAAACATAACCTTCCTTCCACCTTTGATTTGGATGATATTAACCGTCATTTCACGTTCAAGTTTGATCGCCAAATCAATGGTCGGATGTTACAGTTTCTGGCAGATCTACCTCTTCCCAATATTGATGCTTTTAACTTTTCGCCGGTTGAACCAGGTGTGGTCAAAAAGATAATTCTCTCAATTAAATCCAATGCAATGGGTAGTGATAACATTAACCGTCACATGATCATTCCTATCCTCGATCACCTTCTTCCTGTGCTTACGCATATAATAAATTTTTCACTTTACTCATACTTCCGCTTGTGTCCACTCCTCGTTCCTAATCCAATCCGTGCTCCTCTGGAACGCTGTCCCTCTGGAAATCAGGATAGCACCCAGCCGCCTCTCATTCAAGATGAAAGTTTGAGCTCGAATTCTGGACATCCTAGCAGATTCATTCCTTAAAGTTTGATTTATTATCAATATGTAGGATTATGTACCTATGTATGTAACTAAGTAAGTATTTATGTATGAGTGTGTATTTATCTCATTATTTCTGTCTAACTTCTCAATATTTTTTTCTTACTTTACATATCAATCTGTAGTGCACCTAACCACACATTTCAGCACCACTCGAAGGTACACTGGGAGAAAATGCCTGTGGCATTAAGTCTGCCATGGTACCTCCTATACCTACTTGTGTATAAAGTATTAAAATAAATAATTATAATATTTATATTTTTTTACACAACAACACCAGTTGTCATCAAATTACTTCAAAACAAATATTATCCAGTTAAAAATGCCTACTATAATTAAACGTTTGGGCACACGTCGAAAAGAGTAAGACACCGTCTCTAATTAATGATGGGAAAATTTAACATATATAGTTAGGTATAATAAATAATATGTTTATTACTCAACTAGTTATTTTAATAGTGTTGGTAGAATAGACACTTTATTTGAAATTTCACATGGATACCAATACAATTATATCTACAGGCACTTGCACACTGCCATCAGGCTGTTCGTTCGTAGTTCCAATCTTCAATTTGCACCGCGACTCTCGCTTTTGGAACCGACCAAACTCCTTTGACCCAGAACGATTCACTCCCGAGAATATAAAGAAACGCAAGCCTAATTGCTATCTCCCATTTAGTTTGGGACCAATGGATTGCCTAGGTAAGTTTCTATACCTATTACATTTACCTACAAGCTATTGCTAATATACTCAGGAGAAATATAACTACTCAGCACAACAGCACTACAAAGAGAAGAAAAACTTGAAACAAAGCCATTTTTGTACGTTGCTATTAATAAGACATCCGGACCCCTCCTATTGCCTGCCCGCAATGGGCAATTATTATGTCGGTCGAGCCCATGTGTGCCAAAGCATGGCTCTTCCACGCATTTTACAGTCGATTAGTATAAAAAAAGTCCTTGAAATATTAAGACTAATTTAATCCTCATTGGGAAATCGATAATTACCGACCTACTACTTCATAAAATTGAGAATATCGTTTGATTCGTATCAATCTATTTACAGGTAGATACTTCGGTACAAAATTAGTTAAAACAATATGTGTAAGGATTCTACGGGAATTTGCTGTCTCCTCACCAGGGACGTATGACGACATGCGAGTGATTATGGCGATATCGGTTGCGTCTATCAACGGATATCCTGTGTGTTTACATCCAAGAAAATTGAAATAGTAAACGTTCCAGGCAGGTTATGGTTTTTGGTTACAGTTGTAGTACAATAATTAATGAGAAATAAATATTGTGCCGAGGTATTATTTTTGTTTTAATTTTACTATACCTACACTTAAATTAAAATTATTTAATGTGAGAAATTTCAAACCATTATAAAAATCTATTAACTCGTGATATTAGGCCAGTGTGGGTCCAACTAACAAGAAAGTTTATATTGTACTGAGTACAATATTATTATAGATCAAAATGTATATTCAGAAAACGTTAATTGTTATCCAGTCGCGGACTATCCCTAAAGCAAACTAGGCATGTGCCCAGGGGTGCTAGGTTACAAAGGGGTGCGCGAGCAGAATTTATCGAAAAAAAAGACCTGACACAAAATTAATTGTGTCCACTTACATATAATGATTCTTTAATTCTATACTTAGAGATGGTTAAGATTGACATGTAGCGTTTAAATTATGTTATTGCCACTAGTTCTTTGTTTTATTTCACAATAATGTTGTTGCTAGAACGGCAGTTCTAGTTAAGGTTACTCTATTAGTTGTAGTAATACGAGGGGGTTGTCCACTCAATGGCACTATATGGTGCACCGGTGTGGGCGGAGGATCGCTCAGAATAAGGCGCGTCTTTGGCATCCGCAGAGGGTGTTGGGGGTTAGATCTACACAAGGTTACCGCACCGTGTCGACTGAGACAAGTGCGCGCGAAAACTCGGAAGTTCTAGCTAAATTTTATCGACGGACCGGCGCCGAGCGAGACGCGGCAGTCGGCACCCCGCCCGAAGAGGTAGGTAAGGTCGTTACGGCTGGACTGGTTGGTCCGCGTGCTGGCTTTTACTTTCCGGGCACGGCTGCTTTGAGTTTTTATAAAAAGACATCTCCCGCAACGGGATTATTACTGTGTCGCGGGGTCTATACAAACATACATGAAACGGACACAAACTACACCCAGACTCAGAACAATAATTTGTGGATCAGACAAAGTGTAGTCCCATGTGGGGATCGGACCCACAACACTCAACGTAGTATAAGCTGCGTGGCGACCGCTTAAACCACTACGCCATCCGTGCAGTCAAGTCAAATATCTGCATTAGGTCGCTAGAACAAATGGTGACGGCGTGATTTCCAGCGCCTCGTGCCACGAGTAGATGGGATGGTTTTTCCCAAGGCAAGGGGGTGACGCCCTCGTGAGCCTTGACATGGCAACGTCGCCTAAACGAGAGTTTTACCTTGAGGGGTGCCCGTTCTTTGATGTTTTACTCCGTGCTGTTTTAATCGCTTCGATACTGATACACCGCCCCACAGTGTAGTTAGTATAGTCAACTGTAATATAGTAAATATTTATAAATATAATATGGGCGCTGGAGAGGTGCAGGGATGCCGGTGAGATGCTTGCCTATGGCGCTCTTGATACTTAATTCGCCTTTGTTGTTATCCGTGGTCCACATTTTGCCAGTCATCCAAAGGACCAGAAGACGAAATAAAGTAAAAGCAGTAGTAATATTTTTATTTTATTTATTCATATCGTATCGAGTAACAAAACTCATAGTGTTAGTAACAATTTGACTTATAACTATGTTAGTAAATGAAAAATAAAAACACAGCGAAATACAATGACATGAACCGGTACCTAACATGGCACATACATGGGCATTATGCTGCAGGTCCAGCAGAAAGTCTGCAACACCGGTTCACGATCGCGCAATCCATTCGGCTAGCGATCATTTTTAGAATGCTGTTGGTGCTGCCCCGCACCCTGCGTACCAGGGACGCGCATCTCTTACGCATTACTGTATAAAAGCAATCAACGCGGGCTTCTGCAAACATCCCTGAAGCACTACAGAAACGTGGCAACCCCACCAGCACCCTAAACGCGTTGTTATATTGAACTCGAAGGGCGCTGTATGCTTTTAGTGTAAAACGATCCCACAGGCTACACGCGTAGAATGAGGTACAAAATGCACGGAATAATGCGATCTTGACCACACCCGAACAACGTGCAAACCTGCGAGCTATCATGTTAGCACGTACAGACAGCGCCCTTCGCTCCCGTTCGATGTCATTATCATCCTTGAGGTCGGCAGTCAGAAATAATAATAATAGAAATAAAGCCCACCTATATTTCTTTATTATACGAGTTAGCAACACTAACTTAACTAGTCGCCAGTGTTGCCAGAAGGTTACATTTCTTAAATTTTTCGTAACTTTTGACACCTTCGCGTAACATGTAAGTAATTTTTTTATTAAAGGCAATTTTTGTAACTTTTGAGAACAACGAGATTAGTACTACTGGGTTTATATTGCAAACAGTTTACAAACGCATTCTATTAAACGTAAATTTATTGAGTAAGTACTAAGTCTTTCATTCCAGATCACCGATATGGAGTGAAAGACTTTTAGCGCGTTGAGAGATGGTTCTGAGTGGAACGAATAGAAAATGAAACGTGATTTTGCTTGAGCGTGTGCACGCATGTTATATATGTGTATATGCATAATTTCGCGAGTTGGCGCCGTTCACGGCTAAGTAGCTACTTGGCTAGAATAAATTATAATTTAAAAAATAAACACCCTTTTGTGACTTGTTGTTACAGCTACCCGAATTAAAAAGAAGGAAATAATATTCTATAAGTTCAAAAAGAAAAATCATTTTAACGTAAAATAGCGTGGGGTGCGAGATCTCAATTGTTGTAAAAATATTTTACTGACAGAAATTGGTAAAAGTAAAGTTATTATATTATAAAATACCTTGAAAAGCACCGACTTTTCTTTTTGAACTGATAGAAAATTATTGCCTATTTTTAAGTTCGGCTTGTTACAAACGCGGGTTCCTTTTTTTTTAAAACTATAATTTACTTTTCCTTTTTTAGTCATTAATGATAATTATTGTCTTAGAGTAAGTTTATCACACGTGCTTCAGCACCATGCCTTTGTACATGGAGGAAAAAACCGTTAATCTTGAAGGTCCTGATCTGGATAATAGGACAAACTATTTAAATAATTGCATTGTCATCGGTCCTTCATGTGTGCAAAGTTTCAATTTAATTCGACGTTTTGAAGTGGGTCAAAGTCACGTCCGAAGATTCCGTTACATACATATGTAAATAGATACATACATACAAATAAAGATTTAGATATAGGTTACGAAAATAAAGATTTAGGTTACTATTGTCAAAGCTCGAAAAGTCATACTATGCTATGTACTAAGATATACTTGAGTGCTATGACATAATTAGGTGTCATATTTGACCATAAGCTTACTTTTCACAACCACATAATTTCACTAGCAAAGGAATCTTTTGGATGATTAGGTTTTATAATTTAGTAAACATCATGTCATAAACTTTTTTAAATATGTCTACAAGTGTGTCTACGGATACTATCCATAAATGTATCCCACAAATTTTCTTCTCGGTTGTCAAGTTATAATTCATTGGAAGTCAGATGGGAGATTTTTAGAGGGAAAGTTGAGGCACCAGACCTTCATGATGAATTGTGTTGATTTTTTGTGCAAAAAGTGTGAGGTTTTTTTTTTAAGGTGCGTGAACTACCTATGCAACCGGGCTTATTCGTTGTTTGCCGTACCATCATGTCGCACGGTGGCGCGCGCTAAGTCACCCATACCGCGCACTCCTGCGTCCCAATCTTGACTATGATTTATTTGCGGATGGATGGGCAAATATTATATTAGCATGCTTGCGATTCTGTGACCAGGAGGGTTATTTTTATTTTTACTGATATTTCATATTTGTTTTCATTTTTTTTGTGTTGATGTATATATGTCTTTAATTATTGTTTTGGTAAAACTGTCATGATTAAAATAAATAAATAAATAAATGTACTACCCATTAAAATCTATCAACCTTTTTGGGAAAACTCAAGCCGAAAACTTACTTAAAAACTCACAATTTAAATACACAATAAAAAAAAGCAATAATGTAACTTTTGCGGCAAAAATGTAACATTACAGGGAACGAAACGAAATGTAACTTACGGCTCAAGGCCGGCAACATTAGAACACTCGCTTGTCATCGTTTTGTCTTGTTTGATCGACTCACGACGTTTCTGTAGGAACGTTGTGAGGTTATGTTTACGAACATTTTTTATATTTGACTAAAAATATAGGTAGAATTAATTTGCAGATCATCACAAATGAGTAGTATATAAAGTTAGTAACAACAAAAGAAATTAACATATCGAAATGGCTTCTTGGTCTAGATTTAACAAAATTGCTCTTCTGAGTTTGGGTGCAGTCGGTGGTAGCTATGTATATTACAATATAAACAGTACTAGTGAAGAAAAAGTAGGCAAGAATAGAGTGTACAATGCTTGGACAACGAATTATACTCCCAGTGTCCGATGGGACCAGAACTGGGACCTGTAAGTAACATATTTTGCATGAACTTTCAATTATGGTCTGCATTCAAGAAGTATCTTATTTTTTAAGATGACTGCTTAAGGACTTAATTTCACTAATTGTTATTTTTCCTTGAATACCTGAAAAATCTTGAGTAATCCCTTGTAAAGTTGTGAATAATATCCTTTGCTTTCTAACTAATTTTTAATAATGTCATTGCCATCGTAGACAATAAAATGAATTCACATTTCTACTACTATATGTATTTAGATAAATAATTACACACACACACATACTTTTGCATACAGAATAGAAAAGTGTGTTAAAATAAAGTTAAGTTTTAGTCTCAATGTCATATTTAAATATGGATAAGTAATATACATATTATATACATGCATAGGTATATATTTATGTGTTTATTTTTTAAAGTAATTAAATTTAATTATTATATTTTTTATATTGTTATGTAGACGTTAATAATTTACAAACATTTTGCTAGTTTCTCCATCGCCAAATTGTTTTCTGAAAGTGTTTGTTACCTCCAATATTGCATGGAAGGCATAGCGGTTTAAGCATGTACCTGCGCTGAGTGTTGTGGGTTCGATCCCTACATAGAACAATACTTTGTGTCATCTACAATTGTTGCTATATAGGTATGTTTATCAGCAGTTTGATTAGGCTCTGCCTAGAAATGTGAAGTGAAAATATTATTATTACCGCTAATATAATATAGTATAATGTCTCTCTCATCATCACCATCAACAGACTTTAATAGACCACTTCTGGACATTTGCCTCTCCTTAGAAAGGAGGTTTTGGACTACTACAGCACTCTTGGCCAGACGGGTAGAAAAAGGGTTTGTTTTAAGTTTTCCTTCTCTTTGTAGTAGTGTTGTGTCGCATAGTTTGCTCCCTTGCTCTTACGACACCCACAGGATGAATAGGGTTGGTGACACAGCATATTCCTTATCCATCACCACATATAGTATAATGTCTCTCTGAGACACAAACTAAATAATCGTCATCCAGATTATTATAATTACTTCTTCTTTTCAGTATATTTGACATGTCTAAAGGGTGAGATTTCTGAAAAATAATACAAATATTTTTTACTGCTATTACAGCCGGTCACCTGAATCATTGGTTAACAAGAACAAGTACATGAATGATGAAAGTGATGACAACAAATACAATGAAAAGCTGGAGAGTGTCAAAAGTAGATCTGTCAGACATTTGATACTGATCCGTCATGGGCAATACCACATGGATAAGAAAGGGGATAAAGAGAGAATTCTTACTCCATTAGGTAATTTTTTAGTCTAGTTTAATAATCTAGTATAATGAGTTTATAGAAGGGAACATACCCAAACTACTATTTTACAATTTCTACCTCCCTCTCGTCCTAGATGACCCATTGTGTACCGGAGGGGTATACAATGGGTCATTTAGGAGAAGAGAATCCTCATAAAATATAATAATTTGAAAACATGTATTGAAAACATTGCTACAGCAAGCCTCTGTTCACTACATTATCGTACATCATACATACTGTACAATACATAGCTTGAATACGTCCAAAATTTACCAAAAGGATTTTGACTGTGATCAGCCTTGGGATTGTGAAGACCGAGGAGTGAAGTCAACAGATGGTTTGTTGTTGGTATTGGTATTGGTTGTGGGCTTCGGTTTCTGCGGTAAGACTCAAAATATGGATACCCTAACACATCTATTCTTTTTATAACATTTTTAAATATAATATTCAATACTTTTCAACCTTGATGCTTTGAGATGCTGTCTCAAATAATGTTGTTATTTTTTTTAATGTTTGTTACATTTAAAATGTGATCAGTTTCTGACCGGCTTAGATGTATGAAATAATTGTGCCATCGGACTGCGACCTGTTCTTTGAGAAACATTCTATTTTTAATGTCATTTAATCTACAGGTAGGTTACAAGCCGAAATGACTGGCAAGAGGCTGGCAGCTCTGAATATCAAATGGGACTTATTGGTCCGTTCCACCATGACCAGGGCTCAAGAAACTGCAGAAATAATTGCACAGCACTTGCGTAATGATCTCCCAGTCAGAGATTGTCAGCTGATCGAAGAGGGTGCTCCAATACCACCTGAGCCACCCGTCGGACATTGGAAACCGGAGAAATCAGTATGTCACTTGCACTCTGTATTGATTGATAACTGATTTTAAACATTGCCTATTAACAAGTTACAGATGGGTATGCGAATGTCATCATTGTCACATTTACTCCGTATGTTTTTTGTATATGTCTGTGAGTTCCTTTATTCTACCAATACTTCTAAGTGACTCAACAGATTTAAATATATGTAGGTAGCTATGCAATCCTCATGTCATCCTAAAGCCGGCGCCACACGCTACGGTTAACCGTAATGGTCTATGACAACGACCTGTGCAGTTTTTTTACCTGTACAGTTGTACACACAACCAAAGCAAATTCGAAAATCTAAATTTTTAATAGGCACTGTACAGTACACTTGAAGATTTCTCCAGTAAACCGGATTGTCCCACATTACGACATACGATGACCGGTGTGCCTGCACAGGTAGACCTCTCCGGTAAACCGTAGCGTGTGTTGTGACCGTCCTAAGTGACCATAAATAATTCATCATCATGTATATTTTGATTAGTTATTTGTTTACTCCTCCTATATCACGATTCGATAGATCATCAATTTTGGAGCGAATAGCGCCATTGTGTGAATAAGAATTTCATTGCCAAGGAACCTGGCAGTATATCTTTCTAACTTATTTATATCATAAAGATATACTAGTAGTTAAAATGAAATTAATTTAATTATCAACCACAAAAAAACTACGATTTTAATCAGATTTATATACTTTTCAGATTACGGTTTATAACACAATTGTTGAGCAAAAATTATAACTCTGCCTAGAATGCGACGAAAGACATCAAATTATAAAAAAACGTTTTATTTTGTTGATAGTTTTAAATAAATTTCTTTGCGCGATAATAATCCATTGTGCAAAACCTTTTGTTGCCAATTCAGGCTTACATATGTTAATATTGTAACTATGGGAAATATTTCTGTAGTTTATTTTATGTTAACCCCACCACCGCCTTTTGACCGTCACTCAAGAATGATGGTAAAGCGCTTTTTCCCACCATCATTCTTGTGTGGGTGGGTTACAATTAATTATATATTTTATTTATCTGGATTAAAAAAAAAGATTTTCTTTTCAGTGTAGTGTGTATACTTCCGTAACTACAACCTTGCCTCAAAAGTTGCTTTCAACTAATACCTAATTATATTTTATCTTAGCTTATCTTTTCTTAAAGAGGGACCAAATATGTATTTGTTAGGTATAATAGGTCCAATTGTAACCACAAATGGTATATAAAGGATGATAAGAAATGAAATGCTATTAGGACTCGAACAGATGAGAACGAATGATGTCCACGCTGACTCGGACAATTTAATTCTGATCACGAAAACATCATTGTGAGCTTTATTAATAAGTAATAAGAATCAAATTGCATTTTTTGTATGGGTAAATTAACACATTCACTAGCTTTTTGGGTGGTTTTTTTTCTTTAATGCTATCTTCTGATAACAAGCAATCCAGCCATCCATTATTCTATTTCATGTCTGGAAAGTCATCCACTATTTTTATCAATAACCCGTCGCAGCTCATAGAGTTATTTACTGACTGATGTTTTTTTTGAAGTTTGGAAGTTTGGTTTCATAACATTACAGTAAGCAGTTTTTATTTTTATTAATTTATTTATTTTTGTATTTTTTTATATTCGTGTTAATGTCTATATTTTTGTTATATTGCACGTTTATTCTAATACCGTTACTCTATAATAAATAAGCAAAATAATGCAGCATGGCTATTTAAAGGAATTGAACAAAATGTTACTGATATAAATAAATATCTACTTTTCAGGTATTCGTACTTTTTGATCAAAAATTCCAGAAGACCAACTCTCCTAATAAAAGTTCAGTTCAGTCATAAAAATTGATAAAAGGTATTTTCGTAGTAAAGTATTAAACATCCAAAGTTGACTGTAATGTGATTATATCGTATTATTACCCACAGTTGAATAAATAATCTGTTGGTCTTAGGAATACTTTACTATTATACTACGAAAATACCTTTTATGACAGTGGTGAGATCGGAAGGTGATCGGAACTGAATTGTGACCGAACTTTTATTACGAGAATTGGCCCAACTGATTTGACTAACAAATAGATTTTATTTTTATATTAAATGATATAGAATAATTATTTAAAACTTTAGTTAACAAAAATTATACTGTTTGTCAAGGCAATGTGTAAATTACGCATTCAAAAACTAGATGGGAGTTAAAAACAATTATTAAAAAAATGTCGTTAAACGGTATTTAAATAAATATGCTATTATAATTAGTTACTTATTCAGCAAGAGTTACAAGGGTACTTATTTTAATACAAACAATACAATTAAAAGATACATTGCACGCTCATGGCTCGTATTCGCTTTTAAACAAGGGACTCCAGCGATAATTTTTTAAATCGCTATTCCGCAAGTGTGTGTTCAAGTTGAGACAAGATTAGATTTAAAGGACAGGATTGATGAAGGATTGATTTAAAAGAACGCGTCCTTTCAAACCATATTTAAAAATTTATCAAGAAGCGAGTTAAATTGAGTTTGTGAGTCGACTCTTGCTGAATAGCCTGTTACTATTAATTAGTTAATTATTTTATTCTTTAGTCTGTACAATAACTTGTACAGACTTAAGAATAAAAAGTTTAGTAGAATTTCTCATTTTCAACTCACCAAACCATAAAACAGTGATAAAATGATGTACAACTGAATAATGCTGGGCTTTGTGTGCATTCTTAGCAGTTCTTCCAGGATAGTGCCAGGATTGAAGCGGCGTTTAGAAAATACTTCCACCGCGCCCCCCCAGAGCAGACCGAAGACTCGTACACAATATTGGTGTGCCATGCTAATGTCATAAGATTCTTCGTTTGCAAGTGAGTACAGACAAATTACTTATTAAGATCCATCAACTCAAGAGGATCATTATTCTTAAATTGTTGGATTGTCACTAATTTGAGGTGATTACCGAACGACGTCCCCTCCGCCGACGCATTTGTGTCTCTACAGTTGTCCATGGCATTCGTCCATAACTCAACTGCAATTTGCCCCTTTGCCTTAAAAAAAGGTAGCAATCTAAAATAATGCTATATGCTATACCAAAAGGATTGGCGAATTTTGTTCGGATATCGAATTTATTTGATCCTTTAAAAGTGTTTATACTATTTATTTTACTTCAAATACTGAGAGGTGATTCAATACCAAATAAGAGTCATGGACCTTTCAAAATCCTTAAGTAACAGGTGGGCCAAAAGAAATATCCTATTGGAAGATGCTCTTATTTTTGCAAATGGCGGCCAATGTCAAATCTGTTTTAACATTTGTAAACTAGACTCGGTTCTGCCGAGAATATCGCCGCTGTGGCCGAGGATGTCGAGCTGTCGCCAGAAACATCGACCAGACGCCGTGCCTCGCAATTAGCCATCAGCCGGTCGTCCCTAAGGCGAATTTTGGTCAAAGACCTGCGCATGTTCCCGTACAAAGTCCAGTCCGTGCATCAGCTGCTGCCTGTCGACCGCCAAACGCGTGTAACCTACGCCCAAGCCATCCTCAATCTCGAGGACGAAGTGGACGATTTTTCGACCAAAATCATGAGCGATGAGGCTCATTTCCACCTCAGCGGGTACGTGAACAAGCAAAACTATCGCTTCTGGGGCACCGAAAATCCACGAGTGATGCACGAGGAGCCATTACACCCGCTCAAAGTGACTGCATGGTGCGCTGTTCACGCTGGAGGAGTCATCGGGCCATTTTTTTTCGAGGACTCTGCGGGTAAACGGCAACAGTGGACGGTGCGCGCTATAGGGCCATATTGAGTTTTTTCTGCCGCAATTGAACGAATTAGGACTGGAGGACATGTGTTCCAACAGGACGGAGTAACGGCACACACTGCGCGAGCCACAACCGATATTCTGAAGGCGTCGTTCCCGGGTCGCCTCATCTCTCGTCTTGGCGATTTGCACTGGCCCGCAAGATCGCCCGATTTAACCGTTCCAGACTTTTTTGTGGGGTTTTTTGAAGTCCCGTGTTTACGTGAACAAGCCCGAGACCCTGGAAGCCCTCAAGGACAACATTAGACACGAGTGCGAGAATCTGTCGCCCGAAGTTCTCGCCGAAGTGATGAAAAATGCCATAAAACGAGCCCGTATAGCAATCAATTGTGGCGGCGCCCATTTGGCCGATATCATCTTTTCGACTTGACCAATAAAATTCTAAAGGTTCAAATAAACATAATCAAAAAACAGAATTGAAGGTTTTTATTTAGTAAAAAAATGAGAGCCAAACAATATCGGATGACTTCTTTTGGCCCACCTTGTATTATCGGCTGGCATAGAGCTTCTGTGTGAACATGAAAGCAGAACTTTACTTGTAAATATATTATCCACACTTTGCCATTACTTGTAAACTTACGGTTACTTGTACTTAAGGTTACTTGTAAATATATTATCCACACTTTGCCATTATGGACACCTGTACCCGCTTTTACCTCCGAGGATTATTATTCATCCATTCAAAATCTCTTCTTGATTTTTAGGGCACTCCAGTTTCCACCAGAAGGTTGGCTGCGGATATCACTGAACCACGGCTCTATCACCTGGGTGTCCATCAATCCGAATGGCAGCGTGATCCTCCGAGCCCTGGGTGATACTGGCCACATGGACCCACAGTATATAACGAGCCGGTAAAACCAGGTCTCATGGTTTAATACTGTATTGTTCAGAAGGCAGTTACTGGTGCTAAGCGAGTCTTCCAACCATCGTCAAGATATATTTAAGGCCGCGTTCTCGACAACAAAAGTTGGTTGATGGTAAAATAATTTAACGCTAGTGCTACTACTTATAATCAAGGCGACAATATCACGTGTAACATTAAACATTTTCATTGCATTCGCCGCGCTTATGTAACCGCCCCGCTTGCGCCGATGTTGAGGACGTGGCCTTATGCATCTCTTGAGCCAAATATGTTGAAAAATTACAAATATGTATCAATATGTAGCTGTATACGGAACCTTTTTTGCTAAATAAAATAAAAGCTTTATATCTTAATGTTTGCCTGCGTTTGTTACTAACCAGTCTTTAGGGAATTTGGCTCAGATATGATGTTTTCCATGTGTGGCATGTAAATTAATAAAATAATATCGCCCACCAAACCCACGTAGATACCCGATAACCGATTTTTTAGGATCCACAAGCTTTAAACAGCCTAGTTGTACCTGAAAATGTTTGATTCTTGAGTCGTACATGGATAAACGGGTACAGAGTTAACGAAGAAAACCACAGGCGATTTAAGGCCGCATTTTAATAAAATGGCACTCTCACTGACTGCTAACGTGATACTGTTTTCTACCGCTGAGTACATTGTAAGAGCTCATTTAGAAGAAAAGTTAAATGGAGCTTATAAACCCCTTCTATTCAATGCATCTCTAGCGATTTGGAAAGGAAATGAGCGAATGAGGAGGATGTGAGCGAGACCGAAAACTTTGTAACAAGTTTTTTTTCTACACTTCTTGCTATAGTTACAGTCGTCTATGCATTTTATACATCGCCGTAAACTTCGTTAAGACCGGGGGTCCATAGACACCTCACGACTTTTTATTTGAGCTATTAAAGCGTACGCAAACATTTTTATGTAAATTGAAAATATTTTTAGCACCAGTAACTATCCCGTAATGACCAATCGTATCAAAAAATATTAGGCCGGAGGTAATTTATCGAATAGTTAACATTTGTAACAATAAACAGGAACAGTAGGAGTTGCAAGTAAAAGAAGTATGGAACAGCGAGACAGTACACGCTTTTGGAATGGCGCAGACGAAGATGAGGGAATATAGGTTTCTTTGTAATGGGCCTTGAAACTTTGTTAGCAACAACATGAAACGTTTGTCTACTTTGACCTTTCAAGGTGAAGGTTATTGGAATTACGTATTGTTATTCTTTTCTTCTAAAATCTTTATAACGGTCTTAGCTATTATGTATAATCTGTGTCATGCTAAGCCATTGTTGGCAAAAGTTTTATGAAAAACTTTAATATTGTCAGGACATCAAATTTAATTTTAGACTGTTGTTTTGGCATATCTTACATCAGCTTCATTTTCATATTTGAAAGGAATGTGATTGTTAAAAATTTAAACGAAAGCTTGTACCTCATCTAGTTCACTAATTAAAAGGGAGATTAAAACTCTTGGCAATGTCAAGATATTGATATTGTCAGAAGAGTTGTCAAACGATTAGCTTTCAGGTTATGCAGTAACGTAGTGTGACTTATCAACAGTTTAAAATAGGGTGGTACTTCGAGCCGTCAAATAGCAACGTAACTCCAATTTTATCTAGTAATTTATTCTGAATAATTAATAAAAGTTATTTCTTACTTCAAATCATGTGCTAGACAGTTACTGGTAACAGAGTTTCAGATTGCTGAGCATTATATTAATGCACTAATGTGTAAATCTTACACAATTTCATTTAAATAATTACTGTGACAGTGTTAAATAAAATAAACTAATATCCGCAAAAGAAGAATGTAAATATTGAATGTTAATATTTTGATCAAATCATTGTTTTATGACTACGCTAACTATCAAATTCTTAGATTCTGAATATTACCACAACCACGGTTATAAAAGTCATAATTAGATACATTTTTTTTTAAATGTCACAGTTAAACTGAATCATTTAAAAATATAATTTTATCTTGTTAAAAATATACAAATTTAATCATGAATAATTATAATCCCTATCTAGATGTTATATTATGCAGCTAATGTCAATTCAATTTACAAAATAAACAGATAACAGACTTTTATAATTGTCTAAAAATGTAGGAATATCATGACGTCATTTCTTACTATATTAATATCTATTGTACGCCGTGAATGTATAGCAAGCAAGCGAAAACAAACAACTGACAGATAAAAAACCTCCCAATTCCATACTAAAATTTTAACGCTGCATGTCATGTCCAATAGGAACTGATTATTCCATGTTTTAAAGTGCCATAAACATTGTAGTTTATTCATAAACAAGTAATAGAACAATAATTCACATTAAGCGTAGACTGAACCTGAAACTATTTTTCTATTGGTATCATTCATCATCAACAGTCTTTATTAGCCCATTGCTGGACATAGGCTTTTACTTAGAAATGAGGTTTTGGTGTATATTATATACCATGCTGGCCAGACGGGTTGGTATGGGGTTTGTATCAAGTTGTCCTTCTCATCGTCCTTTTAGTATAATAAGTAACAAGACAGTATTAAAAGTAACTCAAACCAGTACTTCTTTTTGAAGTGTATTAAAGTATTAAAAAAAAACTGGGCTCCCTGTTTATTTTTTATTGACATTAAGTGTGGTGTGTGACGCATGATATGCGACTAATGTACAGCTCGCTCGATTTTTTGGCATGCCATGCATCTATTAAATACAGTTAATCAATCAATGTAATTAAATATGTATTTTCAATTTTTAAAGATTTTATGAGGTTCTGCGCTTGGAACAGATTACTGAACCCAACTATTGTAAATTATATCAAATGAAAAATAATATAAATGTAATCCTATAGTCATAGACTAACGAATATTTCATTTAAACAGAAAACTCGATGTTAAAATTGAATATTATTTGTCAAATTTTTCCAGTCCTAATAAGAAAGATGTAAATGGGTTGGAAAATATTGGCGTCTTTATTCATTAGGTCATCTTAAGATTTTTGTATGTCATATTTGTCAAAGATACCAGATTTTGAATAACGCAGTCATGCCAGCGTTTATGAATGTTATAGAAACTCCAGATTATTATGGTGTTCAGAGCTTTTCATACTAACTAAAACAGACAAAGGTGGCGGCCAATCATAAAGCTGTGCGTCTAACCCAATCACACTTGCAAACTGACACCCAATCAAACCATCGCTGCATCGATTCTATCACTCCCACTCGAAATTGGCGCGAAAATAAAATTGAATATTTTTATGAAAGGGACAGGTTCCAAATTTAAAATAATTGCCTTCTTATTGAACAACCTGTGTTTATTGGCCAGACATTCCTAACATAAACAAATGTACCAATGAACAAAACTGTTCTTTAGTTATCACCATTAGTTATAGTACAGAGGTATTGGACGATGCATGAAATGTCATCAGTGTGGGTATTCAACAGTTATAGTATTTGTCGAATTACCTCCAGCAATTATTGTATTTGTATCTTCGTGTGTAAATGTAACAGTTGTAAATGTTTTTTAATGTTGGGTAAAATATATAAGTATTTTAATTTTAAATTCAGAGTTTCATTTCACTAATTTGTCCCCTCATGTGGTTATTATGAAAGTGCGTTGATAAAGGTCAGCTGTAAACCCGAAAACAATATTTGTTATCTGTTGTGTCAGTGCTGCCAACATACATTTTTGGTTTCTTTTTTTTTAACTAGTAGGTATTTACTTTAAGGCCTTCATGTGAGTTAAAGGATTTTAACCGATTTAAAAAAGAGGGGGGGTTATCATAATTTGGCTGTTTATATTATTTTTATGTATGTTCGGGCATAACTCCGTCATATAAAAAAATATTTTTTGTTCGAAAGGGGTTTATGGCGAAATGGTCCCATTTAAATTTCATATAGGTCTAATGATGAGTTTTGGAGACAAATATCGGAACTCTTAAAAAAATTCCAGTTCATCAATGCTGCTAGGTTTTTAGCGCTCTTTATTGTTGGTTTTGTTTGAAGTCGTTAAACTTAAAAAGAAAGGAGGCCGTATCATTCTGGTCGAGCTTGCCCATATGTGTCGAAGCATGACTATCTCACTATTAATGGACATACATTTGAAAAATCTGAAGGCCGAGTGTGATTCTATTTCACATTTAGTCGATCGTCACGGTGACCGCGTTCGGCGTTGCGATTGGCACGCACTGAAATCTTCGCCAATTGCAACGCCAAACACGCTCGCCGTCAAGTGATGTTAAACAAACTACACTATGCCCTCAGAAATTCGAGGCGATCAAACCGACATTCAGTAAAATGTTGTAGTTCTCGTGAATGATTCATTCACAATCATTTCTATGCTATGAATTTTTACAAGGTAGGTAAAACAAACTACGGATATTCAAGAACATAATATTTATATTATCAATTATATTGGTTCTGTAATTAATGTACAACATCAATATTTACGAAATATCAATTATGTATAACTATCATGCATTATATTAGACAAATAAAAGCTCTGATTATATAAATTCTTCTTGAGATATGTTGGAGAATTGAGATATAAATATTGAAATGAGATCCTAATGAGTTATTACAAGAAAATACCTTATGGTGCTGGCCTAATTAATTATAAATTGAACTGAAATCTAATTTTAACTTAACCTGATTTTCAATTTAATTTTTAAAGAATTATATTTAATACTCTTTTATTTGCGGGAGTTTTGAGTTACCACGACCAGTCTGTGCTAAATCAGCTGAACAGAGTAAGGCCCACGTTGGGCGCCATCATGGAAAAAACTCTAACATCACGTCGCACAGATAACAAGCTAATATGTTGTAACAATGTAGCTACTAAGTGTGTAAATGTGTCGGGAAAAAAATATTCTCGTCTAAAGACACTCGAAAACATTATGTCGCTGAATTGACAGACTTCAAATTTTTATTAGATCAGGTAATAATTCGTCGTACATAATAATTAGTTGACCACACCAAGCGAGATAATATCAGATAAGAACAATCCATTTTTTTTAATTTGACCAGCATTATATAATTGTTTGCTTATTTTCTAGAGAGTCATAATATTAAGCCAGTATGTAGATAGTAATTATTTAAAAATTGATGCTCTAAAACGACAATCAAAAATTATGCTGCAAGATCTCTCTCTTGATTACGAAAGACAAATATGGCGAAATATTTACAATATTATTTATTTAATAATTGGTGTCTTGTGGAAGATATCACTATTAATTCGTTGCACAGTGAAATTAACTAAAGTCAGGCTGACTATATTTAATTTCGCTGTGCAACGGATTTAATGATAAGATACATAATCTATGTATATTTTAGTAATGAATTCTTACTCATTTTGTGTTAAATCAACTGAGTCTTGTGTAGGGTAATTCTGTGTAATTTATCTAAAATTCTTAATATTATAAATGGCTTTTATTGCAGTGTATATATAGCCTTTATACTTATATGAATTAAGCACTTCATAAGTTATAGCAAGAAGAAAGAAATAATATTAAGTTGTAAATCAATTTTTATCATGTTATTCGGTTCTCAAAACTAACACACGGACAAGGTCTTCCTACATATAAACATGCGTAAAAACGCCTAGTTGTCCTTAAAGAGTTAAAATAGTTAAAACTATTTATTTTACAAATATAGACCTTAAGTATGACCGTGTGTTTTCAGAACTATAAGTATTTGAGACCATCGATATTGCATTATAAAGGTAATTTTAAGACCGTCGTGAATTTAGAAATAGTTCTCTACTTTTCTTAACTTATCAGGGGTTTTAAGCATATTAATACATACATTTAAGTCGATTCAAGAAATAATTTACAAATCATCATAAGTGCAGAAATATTCTAGACATTGTTTTATATACTAAATTATAAGCTAGATGTTTTTTATTAAACAAAAACCTCAAACTTTTACTTATTTTAAGTAAATGATATTCAGTAGAAAATAGTTTTAAGTTTTAGATGATAATGAATTATTTTCAGTTAAAGTTAAAACTATTTGAAGTTAAAGTTAAATATGTGTGTGGGTAAATTTGTAAATTTACCATTCATTTAAAATATATAGAGTCCACGGTGCATATCTTAGCGCAGTTGCTATAAGCATTCGCATCACTTACCTACAAATCTTAAGTGTTTGTGACCGATAGAAAGTACACATCATAAAAGGTCACAAACAGATCTTAGGGTACGATTCGTTGTAAATTAATTTTAGTAGCGTTTTCATTATTAGATTTAGATTATTCATAATACAGACTTTAAAATGCGATGTAATTCAATATGTTTAAATGTATTAAGAAGATAATTATTTCATCTTCAAATAGACCGCCCTTGTTTTTATCGCAATAAAAACGGTTACTATACATGTAGATATAGTTTTAATAAGTTATGAAAAAAATATAGTACGTATGGCAGGAACTTTAAACTCCGCTTTTTAAGAACTACCTACCTGTAGGGTAAGAAGGAGGAATGGCACTCACTGGGTAATGGCGCTCACCACTGTAGTTGTATCAAAATGAAGCATAGTGACATGCAACGTCGTATAAATCACGGGGGGTGGAGTGTCAAACGGGCAGTGACGCGTATGAGCAGTCAGCTCGCGACAAGCAACCGATAAATGGGTTTCTCCATATTAGGCCACGCTGATCTAACTTTATGGCTGTACCATAATTTTTTTATCGATTAATTATTGATACAACTTTCCTTGGTTCCATTGTTCAATTTTATGATAACGTTATCGATTTTTAACAATTGTGTCTGAATGTTATTAAATTTTAAATCAAATTCAAAATTATCCATTACCCGTTAGTTACTTATTTCACTTTTTCTTACAGATAGGGCCTGCCTGCTAGAGCCTGAAGGGGTGTCCACCCCTTCAGGCATCCCTGAATTAATATGTCAGTTTAATGGCAACATTACCGAAACGGAAGGTGAAATGTGTTGTCGCAGATAATTAACGTTTTATTTTCATTGAGGAATAGGCGTGTGTTGCCTTAGTTTGTTTAGCCACGATATATAATAAATACAATATCTGTGGTACAAGTTTTGCATTCCGAAATTTTTGCCTGAGCTTTTCATTGAGCCCAATCCCGCCTAAAACCTAGACTATGTTTATTATATGAAAAAATATACGAACTACCTTAGTAGATCCCAGTAAACAAGAAATAGTATCGGATTTCTTTGGTTATTTATGCAGTGGGAGCCAAGGCATCATCGCCAAGTAGGTATACAAAAAAAACTATTGAAAATAGATTATAGTATTACACTGAAGGAGTTTTTTTTACCATATTGGGATTTTTGCCTAAACTAAAACCAGAAAGATAAATCAGTGTAACCGCAAAAAAAGTGTATATGTTAAGGCCTACTAATGTGGCTTAAGTAGGTATGTCCCTGAAGTGTGAAGGCGTTCAGTTAGCTGCGATGCGTCGAGGCATCAGCAGGTCTGGGCCCTCTGTCGGATCGTCTTCGTCTTCATCGTCACACGCGTCTTCAGGCTCGCCGAGGGCTCGGACAAATTCTGCAATACAAGGGTTTTCTGGTCATTAGTCAGAACTCTTGTCAAGTAATTTTGACACGTAATACAAATTCATAACGGTAGTTAACTTTAAACATATGATTTCATTATTTATTTTTTACTTAATTTTAGTAGTATCTACCTGATATTTAATCGGTAATAGTTGTGGAACATCCACATTAACTAATTTTAAAAACAAAATGAAATATTCAAAAATAAATAATTTTGTAGAACTATTTACTGTAGACCCGACCAGAGCTGCATAAGAAGACGGCTGCAGTGGGGTAATGTAATAGCGATTGTAACATAAGTATCTGTATTTTTTGTTAAGCTTTTGCTCCTCTGGTCATCATTAATTTTTGCACATGTTTTTAAAATTATAATTAAAGAACACTTACCCAAAAAGTCAATACGACCATCACCATCGGCGTCCACTTCCTTGATCATATCTTCAACTGGTGATAAATCATGAATGTTATTTTTATACCCTTTATTAGTATAAAGAGAGAATAACAGCAAAATTTGCTAGCCAATACTAATTTTAACACGATCTGTATTTATAATATTTGGTGTATCTACAGTAGACATAGGACAAAATCACAATGAACTGTAATTTATCATTCGATTTTTGCGTATACGTAGGTTAGAGTTGCTAGGTAGGTAGGTTAAACGCTATGTAAGACGCTATGTAAGGCGCTATGTAGGTATAAACGGGTCTTTATGCATCGTCTGAAAACAGCTTATTGGCAACAACGTGTGATTAAGTAGTAACCCTAACCTACGTACGAAAAAATCAAATGATAAATCACCAGTATTTCACAGTTCTCTTTGATTTTGTGGCATGCCTAGTCTACAGTGATCTACTCTTCATATTTGTATATTGACTTTCCCTATATCAATAATTATCATTTTTTTTTGTAATAATCTGTTCCCTCTATAAACTATAAGTAGGTAGGGATATCTATCATCAAATAAGGGTATAAATACAGCGATAACATTGTGTTCATACCTATATAGTTTTATTTAAATTAGCATTTTTGGCGGTATTAAATATATAAATTTATATATACATGAATTTGAATGTAAATAAGTGTTAAGTAAATTTTATGGTAAAGTAAATCATACTCACTCTCTTCTTCGGACAGGTCTTCGCCTAAACATTGCAGTACAGCCCTCAAGTCCGACGCGCAAATATACCCACGGTTATGCTTATCGAACACCCTGAACGCATCTCGGAGTTCCCTTTCCTCCTGTTCAGCAGAAGTGGGGCCGCTCATGCCGCCCATCGACTTGGATAAGATGCTGACGAACTCTTCGAAACTTACATTACCGTCACCTAGGAAACAAAGGGTCGTTATTGGTACCCCGTATCCGTATCGATTGTTTTAATAGTTATTGCGTTAAACCTTTAAAAATAAATATACACATATTCGAGTTTATTACGCGGATATAACTTATATTCGTGTTGGTAAGTGTAGATAAAGGAGTAAAAAAAACCGTTTATAGGTTTCTTATAATTGTCTTAACTATATTACTTATATCACAGGTCACAGAGTATTTAATTCAGTTGAACTACCACTAACCATCACTGTCGACTTCTTGCAGCATGTCCTGTAACTCTTCAACTCTGGCGAACTGTCCCAAGCTGCGCATAACTCTGCCCAGTTCTTCTTTAGTGATAGTGCCATCACCATCCTTATCGAACAGGCGGAATGCCTCACGGAATTCTGGGTGATTAAAAATTTAAGATTTTAAGTATTCTCTACTTAACGCTTGCAGAAGCTTTCAAATTAAAAAGTCTCGTTTTTTACTCCATAAGCTTAAATTTCCCCAAAAATGGGAGAAGCTCAAATGAAAATATTCGTTCCAGCAAGTGTTCTTAAACCAAAACTAACATCTTGCCTCATTTGCAATCGTCATCTAATGTAAAAAAAAGAAGATATTCACCTTTCATTTGCGTTCTGGTTATTCCTGAGGTCTCATCAACGATGGAAGCCTTCCTGTCGAGGTTTGTGTCTGCCGCCGGCTTCAGAAATGTCACCTGACGCTGAGTTTTCGACGGAGACGACATATCTGCCTCTGGTTGCTGACTGTAACGAACAGAATACTTTAATTAAAAAACACATTCAAAATGTTTGTGTTTAACGAAGAATTTTGTTGTTCTTATTTACAACATATCTATTGGATTTTGACATTAAGGGCGTATTGATAACTTTCCCCGCGGCTTCAGTAGTAATATCTAGAGTTTCCGGGATAGTCTTTCTCCATTTTCAGACTATAAGCTATCTCTGTACAAAACTTTGTCCAATTTCGTTTAGCTGTTCTGGTGTATCCATTCATTTATCCGAAATTTCACATTTATAATAATCATCATCATCATCATCAATGGTATTTAGTAGTCCACTGCTGGGCATGGACCTCTCCTTTGGCTAGGTTTTGGCCTACTATACCACGCTGGCGAGACGGGTTGGTATAGGGTTTCTGTGAAGTTTTCCTTCTCTTTACACTGCATATCGAATGGCCTGCGTATCCTATCGTATGGACTACAATATTTTGTGATTCCAGAATGCAAAAGCATGTCCTACATCGGTAGTGGCTTCATGTAGACCTTGCTGAACCTTTTGAGATTATTCAGTAAATTGTGCAGTATGTTAATTAAGTGTTTTTATTTATCTTTGACTACATTTATACTTAGTTATCAAAAATAATTGTTTTCAACACTCTCGCTGCGGGTTAGTAAGAAGACGAATCAATACCTACTTAATAGAACTATGAACTATGACAAATTTGAAATTTTATCTTTGCACTACCGCATCATATTTCTACATCTTGTGAATATCGACTGTATATGAATACATACTGTGTATGAGTAAAATATGCATCAAAGTTATAAATAAAAAAAGCTCAAGACAACGATCATAACTTTTCATAATATTCTTAAATTCAAAATCGGAACTATTCTATGCAAGACCCACTTATGACAGCTTTTTTATTTGGGCGTATTATAATATAAGAAGTTTTAATGCTAGAGGTGGACAGACAGAGGGCTGGGCGAGACAGCTATGCTACCTGAAGAGGTCGTAACTTATCAGTGGGTTTAAAAATGTCGCGCTGTCCCTCTCGGCGCTAGTACATTTCAATCAGTCACACCGCGTCACTTTGTCGTCTTGTCCCGTTTTCTATCTGCCTCAACATTTAGTGTTCTGCAGTGCGGCTGGGTTTGTTTGAACATTGAGCAGCTTATCGAGAGTGGCTCCTTTATCAAGTGCAGAACGATATTTGTGTGATTTTGGTGTGTGCTCTTTTGTCTATAAAATGTTTTAACATACACAACTGTTTTTTATGAGATAGACCGTATGTTTCTTTCCCAATTTTTTTTATATAACAAGGTATAAAAGAACTTCTTGGGTTAAAACAATACAAAATCTGAGCATTACTCCGTGTACCTTACACTATACCCACTAAACAAAAAATCACATTCAAATATTGTTAATCTATAACCAATATAGTGAAAATTAAATCTGTTCTGAACTGTATTGCGTCTTGCAAAACTTTCATTTTTAAAAGGAATTATTTGAAACATTACATTATTTGCAAGAGTTTTTATATTTAATACAAAGTTACATTACTTATCGAATTCTATAAAAATATGGACATTCTATACTTTTCATCATAAAAAAAGTATACCACCAACTTGAGATGTCGCTAAATTAAATAAGTTAAATAAGTTTAAAAAAATTACATCACTTAGATTGTATCGGATTAGAGTAGGTAGGTACTACTCTTTGTTAAAGTTTATTGTAAACAATAAGAGCAGTTTCTATGAAGGGACAATAAACTAGTGTTTATGTAGCTTGTTAGTAGTTTGCCAAGTGACAATAAATGGCTTTGTCCAGTTGCGAACAAAACACCCAGTAAATGTCAAGAAATACAAATGTTATCCATCTTAATTGGGCCGTGTTAAGCAAAGAGTATATAAGCAATACGTTAGGATTGTGAGTATTATAACTTACAATTATAGTTTTAAAATCTGTTTAAATTTAACAACGGCGAATGTGAAAAGAATCTCTATCACGCCACACCTGGTGGTTTTGTGCCAGCCGGATACACTGCTCTCCAACCGCCCTCACAATGTCGTCCGACCATCGGGCAGGTGGTCTGCCTCGAGGCCACCGTATATCTCTTGGCCACCATTCGGTAACTGTCTTAGTCTATCGGTCGTCGTTCCTTCTGACCAAGTGCCGCCTATCTCCACTTAAGCCTCGCAATCGTATTCGTAATTAATAATCGTATTTTATAGTTAGTTCTTATATAATCAAAGTATTACTTGCCTAGCCACGAGTAAAGCCCCCCCCCCCCCCCCCTCCACTCGTGGCTAGGTCTTCCAGGATAAATAACAAATTTATGTGAACAGCTCTCTCTCGCTCTCTCTCTCTCTCTCTCTCCCAACTCAAGGCGAAAAATTAAAATGAAGCTAAACTAAGTGTTATAAATCTATTATATTAATAATTAGCTTTCAAAAAAGTATTCCCGAGTTTAATACGCCTTTATCATGATAAATTGTGATAACTTTAATTTTTATCCCTTAATTTTTCCCCATAGAGGTGAAATATTTTCTTCAAATTTGTTTAGGAGCAACTTTAAATGCAACCGTTACGTGTAAAACAAGAAATATTCAAATGAAGAATTCAAATGACTCGACCCGCAAATGGCACATATATCACAAAAAAATACCTTCTTTTTGGAGTCGTTTAAAAAACATTACTGCTGTCGATATATAAACCATTTATTTTGTCTCTATAATATATTCGCAAGATCTGACATCCTAATTACGCGAAATGCTCGGTTTCATGTTATTTAATAACATTACATTAACATCAAACAAAATCTATTCCTTCTTAAATAAAGCTAATTAGGATACATATCCTGATAAGGTTTATTTACATTATCGATTATATTATTAAGTAATAAAGTATCCATAATTTATTCTGGAATTAAAGCCATTGATGCTAGTTAAAGAGTTTGGAATTATTAATTAATCGAATTAAGTTTACTACAGAATTAATACCTCCATTTACGATGAAACACATTGTTTTTACAATTTGATTTACATGTAGAAATTACACTTTTCAGAGGATAAGAACCTTCGAGCATTGACTAAGATAGACGTGGGCAAAGTCGCATCAGCGAAGCCCCTTTTCTTTCGTTCGCAATACATAGGTGCTCAAAACATTTATTTTACCAGTCAAAGCATGACACGACATACCTACTTATGAGTGACAAAACAATGCGCGTTGGCAGAATATATGAAAAAATCTTTTACTTCGTAACTTGCGAGATTTAATTTCTTATCAAAGTCAGTTCTTCGGTCTTTTTATGAAAGAATGTGGCAAACGAGCAGACTGGTCACTTGATGGTAAGTGACTACCATGAACATCTGCAACTCAGGAGTCACAAGCACGTTGCTGGTCTTAGAAGAAAGAGTACGCGTTTTTCTTAAAGGTCGTATCGGTCCGGAAATACCGCAAACAACAACTTGTTCTATAGATTGAATGTACAAGGCAAAAAGTGTCTTGAAAAGCGCACACTGGTGCAGTGATAATTAATTATCCAAGTGATGGAGATGAAAATTTTGCCGTTTGGACCAATGGCAGAAAGTTGCGGCCGGTATTAGTCCGAACAATTGCTTGGAACACTCTACGTGATATATTATTATACGATAGAGTATGACGTAACGCCAAGGGATCAAGCCGAACGGAGATCTTTTAGCTATCTACGATTCGATTCCCTCTTCGTTGGATGCGGTCCAGAGGGAGAAGCCGGTACTGAGGTGCAGCACTGGAGGCTGCTGTCTAGGGGATCTGTGGGAGCCAATTCGCCGCCTATAATACACACAATAAACACCTATCGGCCTCCTCCGGCTGCCGAACTCAGCTCAATAAAACGCAGCGGGTAGCGGCTATTCGGATCGTACAAGGATACCGCACCATCTCGTCGGAGGCGGTGACACCCGGTACAACGGTATACCCTTAAGATAGGGCTTCTTGAGAGGCCCGGAACAAACACACTTCGATCGTTAATGTTATTAAAATAATTAATCATCTGTGGTATAGTCCAGGAGCCACGCGAGGCCCCCCTAAGTGCGAGGCCGTGGGCGACGGCCCACTCCGCCCACGCCTAGCTACACACAGTCGCACGATTGTGTGCTACATTAGACATTGAAGGGATAAAATCGGTAAATTGTTATGATTATAACATCAACATCATTATCAACAGGCTTTAATAGTCCACTGCTGGACATAGACCTCTCCTTAGAAAGGAAATTTTGGGGTACTATACCACCCTGGCCAGACGGGTGATTAGGGTAGATTGCACCTGTGTCTCGGGCGAAGAAGTGCTTACAAACTGTTATCAACATAAATATATGGGGTCTACCAATAAGAACGTCTTGGTTTAAAAATTTAATAAAACACATATTTTTTATGAAAAATGCATCCGATTGATTTATTTGATAGATAGTTTTATGCAATTTATGTTTTAAATAATATATCGGCCAAATGACCGCCGCGGCTCTTTTTGCAGACGGTCACCCGCTCACGCCAATTTTCGATTACGCGGTGCACCATTTCGGCCGGTATGTCGGCTATGGATTGCGAATGTTGGTTTTTAGGTCACGAATTGTAGCTGGATTATTGCTGTACACCTTAGATTTAACGTAACCCCAAAGAAAATAGTCTAAAGGTGTTAAATCACACGATCTTGGTGGCCAACTGATCGGACCATTTAATTAATAAACCGAACGTTAACGACTCACCAAACTTTCCACTGTTCAATGTTCACTCGAGTAATATGAGGTGGTGCACCGTCTTGTTGAAAATAAAGGTCGTCTGCATCAATATCATCAAATTCCGGAACGAAATATTCGGTTAACATCGAGTTATAGCGCTCGCCATTCACAGTAACAGGGTTTCCTTCGTCACTTTCAAAGAAGTACGGACCAATGATTCCACCGTACCATAAACCGCACTAAACTGTTATTTTATGCGGTTGCAATGGTGATTCATGAACCACACGTGGACTTGACTCACTCCAATAGCGACAATTTTGTTTATTAACAAATCCATTGAGCCAGAAATGGGCCTCAACTGAGAAGATGATTTCGGCAAATTAAATCGGCAAATTCACGACAGATACAATGGTCGGATGGCTTCAATTCTTGTGCCAAAACAATTTTGTATGGATGTAGGCTCAAATCTATCCGCAAAATAAGCCAGGTGGTCATTGGAGAGAGCCCCACCTCTTGTGAACGGCGTTGAACTGATCGATTTGAATTCGCATCAACACTGGCCTGAACGGCTGCGCTATTCTCTTTACTACGGGCATTTCTTTGTCTCAAAGGCACAGCAGTATCGTGGAAAGTGAATTCACTTTCAAATTTTGTTATTATGCGATTTATAGCGCGCACAGAAGGAGCACTATGACGACCGTTTTTTGCGCGAAGCGCTCTTACTGTAGCGGTAGGAGAACGCGAATTTGCGTAATAATTTTGGTCAATTTCCAACCGTTGGTTTAAAGTGAAACGTGACATGATAAAATGGCAAACCTTACTGAACACAAATGTCAAGAGACGTCAAAGATCCATCAAACATGGCCGCTATGAGCTGTCAAAACCAGGTCATCTCTATTGGTAGACCCAGTACATACGTACAATTTAGTAACAACAGAGAACAGAGAATGATAACGACCTTCTGAGCTATAGTTAAACCGCCGTAAGCTTGGCCCTCCTGATGGTTTGGGGGATGCGGGGCGGGGGTGCATTCAACCAATTAGCTAGTGCGTCGCTGTCCGCCGGCAGTGACTGACGTGAAAGCATGGCTGCACGTGTTTTTTTTCTTAAGACTGCTACACACGGTATTATTTTGCAACATGGATAATCTGCCGACTCTGCGTCACAAAAAGATTTAAAAACTTGAAGTTCGTCCTACAGAGGTTCTACTGTTAAAGTTCTAATAAAGAATATTTATTATTTTACTTAATTTTTAAATTGTATCTGAATATAATTTATATGATGAAGATAAGGTGATTTTATTAAAATTATTTTAATTAATTTTACAATTAATCATAAAAATTTACAATACACTGACATTATAATACATGAAAATAAATTCGATTTTTATTACATCGTGTGTAGATTAAATCTCAAACAAATAAATCTGAAGATATCGAGTTAGTACATCGTGTCATGTATAGTCGAGCGTATCACACGCCCCGCGTCCCGCAAACCATCAGGAGGGCCAAGCTTACGGCGGTTTAACTATAACAACCATTTTTCGTCCCATCAAAGGTACTAATAGACTAGACAATATTAATTAGTTATAGTTTGCCTCTATGTGAATACATTTTTTTTTATATGTATGCAATAAAGAAAAAAAAAACATTTTCTTTTTTCTTTATTGCATACTTCAGGGTACCTACGATTTTGTGACAGGACACGCCTCTTTCATAAATGTTACATTTGTATCCATTTATGAAAACGTAATAAAAATCCAATTTAACTGGAATGGTCCTTGGTGTATTATGAAACAGTAGAACGTCGGAGAATATCGCAAGAGTCTGCTTCCAATGTTTTATGAACTTAAATGTTTAAGTATGCGTTTCGTGGGTTAAGCCGAGAATACTTAAATATTGTGTTTCTTTTATAATGTCGATTTGTTTTGAAGTAAAGTGCATAACAAAGTATAGAATTTAAAATTTAATACTATACAGTAAGTACTCCGTTATAGCATGCTATATTTGCATGTAATTATATTGTTACACTTTGTTTTACTCTTTTTTCTGTTTGGTTTCAAATCTATTTGTAAGTGTTAACAAATTTTAGCAACTTTTAATAAGAAATAAATATATGTCTAACTAAACTACTAGGTATATCCAGAGAAGAAAGGATGTATCCTGTTATGTTTGTTCGGTGCCATAATTATACCATTTAATATATAAGTATTTAATAATATATAGGTATGTACGAGCTAAATCACAACCCCATGGCGGTAACGTACTAAGTTGCACGCGGTTCAACTCCTATAGATCACACAATACAGCGTACTACGAAACACAGCGTCAAAATTCACCGTTGAATAAAACCGTCCATTTTTAACAAATTAGAAAAGGTATATCAAAAATCGCTTAATCCCTAACCAGATTGGGCACTTCATCACGCCACATTGGACCTTAAGGCTGTGGAAATTAAATCGTCCGTTGACATCAGATTAGCAATAAACCGGTCGTTTAAATTTCTGCGGAGCAGCAGTACAGCCTCCCTAGGTTTATCGATCGGCACCCACATTCGCACGTTGTTTTGTATTTGACTTTTGCTACAAGTAGAGATCCTGCGAGATTTGTTTGCAGGAATTTCATTTTATTTATTTTCGGTTGGATTCGTTTCAATGTCTTTCAGAAATTTTAACACAATTCAGTAAATAATTTCGTACTAAAATAAGTTTATTGTATTGTAAGTATTTTGGTTTTAGTTAGTATGCGTTTTATGGGCCAAAGTTTCGGGAAGGATAATTGAAGATGAACATGTTAATTTTTTAAATACTAGAATAACCAGACAAGTGTTGATCTCGCTTGAAAAAGGTTACATTCGATAATTATGTATTTAGTATGTTTTGGTATGTTTATTTAAACTTGAGGTAAAAAGCATATTCCACCAGACATTCCAACTGCAAATTTTCAAAACGAGAGACCTTTAAGTCATTTTGACACCGTAAACTCTTATGGATTTTCTGTGGTCTATGACTTAACAACTATTACTTTTTTATTATTAATTCATTCATCATCATAATGCCACGATAAATTTTCGCCTCAGTAATACATGCCATACTTTGCACACTGAAGTTAGTTTTTAATTGACAGTGATAATATTTTACAGACAAAAGGGCTACGGCATACGCTAGCTACGGTGCTTACGAGTGCTACGGAGTCTACGAACGGGTATTATGAAAATGATTGCTATGGTTAATTACTTGATCAATATTAAGGTTTAGTTTGTGCCTTTATGGTTGCGATAGTCTTTCAGTTATAGTCATTGCCTATCAAAGGCTCATAATTGTCTGAAGGGTTATTGTTTAAAACAGAGGTATTAAAAATCAAGATCGATAAATATTTAAGTTAAATGTATAAAAGAGAAGTACGAAATCTTATAATAAAATCGTCTGACTTCATCTTTCAATTTCCAAGCTGAGTGGTTTAGTGTTAAGGTCGGACAACTGTAACAAACAAACTAATTTTCGTATTTACAAAATAACGAGTAGTCAGCGTGTACTTCTTTCCTCTCTATGCCAACTGTAATTCTAAGAAAGTATTCCTCTAAATATATTTAGAGGAACACTTTCTAGCGCTCCACTACGGTGCGCTTTTTAAGACACTGTTTGCCTCGCACTACCAATCTGTGGAACAAGTTATCGTCTGCGGTATTTCCGGATCGAAACGACCTCCAAACCTTCAAAGAAAAGATCGTACTCCTTCATCAAAGGCCGGCATCGCGCTTGTGACTCCTGAGCTGCAGGCGTTCATGGGCAGCGGTGGTCGCATTCCATCGGGTGACCCGTATGCTTGGTGGCCCTCACTTTCATAACAAAACACTATACCATAAAAAATAGTAATAATAATTACCTACATTCTGTTAAATATTACACAGCAGTTTTAAACAAAATCTTTTAGGAGAAAATCAAGTATGTATATGTTAGGCAGTCAAAAACTGATTTAATAAAATTAGTTAAGAGATGTTTAGATACTGCTTATTCACGCTTACATTTTACGATAAAAGCTTTTCGCGCCTCATCGAAAGGAAATTGAAAAGCTAAATTATTCTAATGATTGACACACAATAATTCATCTTTTGTATTCATAGAATGAAGAAAGTGAATACAATAAGGTATTCAAAGCTAAATCTTTAACATAAAAAATAAACAGCTTTCTTTCATGTTATTTCTTTTTCAGTATTTTACGCCAGTTTTATCATTTTACGGTTGAAGAAAAACTAAAATGAGTTTTGTCTTTATCAAGTTTTTACAAATTTAATCGTAACTTAGAAACTCAATGGATCCAACTCACTGAGGGTTATTTTGAAAATCGAAACGATTGAAACCATGCAGTGTTCAGTCACACAATACATAATGTCTGCTGGACGCAGGTGTAATACATGAAATTATTCCCGCAGAATCCAAGACCTTGACCATTTATAGAACAGTGTCCCACTCCCGTTCATGGCCTATTCCTGTCTCAAACATACTTCTACAATAATAAGGGACAGACCCAGTCTTAACCTTCGTTGCCATCGAGTGTTGCGCTATGAAGATGCTATCTTGGAGAAAACTTTAGGTACACAATTCGGAAACATATTTAAACACTTAATTCATGCAACTTAAAACTTAATAATGCTGGGTACTCACCTCTCTGAGCGGCTGAGGGCCAAAGATGGAGGTCCCTGACTCTCTGGCCTTGATGTTTCATCAGGTGGACCAGGCTCGCCACCGCTGCTACTCGTTTGTCTTGTCTGTGACAAATATTAATAGGGTTTTAGACAAACTAATGATGGTTAAAAATCGTAGAAATATAATCTAAATAAGTAAAGCTTATACTGTTCAATTTTCGATCGACTTTGAAGTGAAGTAGGTTTTTAATTTGACTGGCCTTTTTATTATTATTATTATTCTGTAATCCTTCTTTCAATAGACGGTAAAATGATAAAAAACTAACGTTAACTAAGTATAGCACCTTCTTTTAAATTTGAAGGAAATATTATTACTCTAAAGTTCGAAAATAAGAAAATTAAGAAGAATAGCTTTGTAAAATTGATCACGTTTTTGGTGCATGATTGGTGCAAGTTGGTGACATGAATCCACTTTTTAAACGTTTTTAAATAATAATGATATTGCGGCAAATATTACACAGTTGTTTCAGGCCCATATTAAGTAATTCTTGGTTTAGCTAGCGTGGTAGACTATGTCCAAAATTATTATGTTACATAATTAATTTTACCAGGAAAACCTCCTTTCTAAGGAGAGGCCTATGTCCAGCAGTGGACTACTAAAGGCTGTTGATGAAGATGATGGTGATAAAATATTAAAAATATACAATGTAAAAAAGCGGCGCCTTTACAAACATTCATGAATTTGAGTCAAAGAACACCCAGACTCAGAACAACCATTTGTGGATCATCATCCTTACATATAAAAGAAAATCTGTTAGGTAGAAGTGGACACAGTACACACATCAAAAATAAAAGAGGTGAAAAAAAAAGAAGTAACGAACTACGATTAATCAAACTATACGCATAAAACTACCCACATATCCTGACACTTAACGTCTACTGTTCGATTATTAGACGATAATTAAACACCGGACAGTAAATAGTTATGGCGTGTCGCACAACACGCTATTATGTGATTCCTAATGCTTTTAGTGATTTAAATAACGGTTTTTTGATGGTATTTTGGTATTTGTTCAATGAAATACACACGTATGATCATTTCTGCGTTGCTCTGATTTGGCTGTCAATTAATTATTTAAAAAGACAACTCCTGCACTAGGAATATGTCCTGTGTCGCGGGGACATGCGCTGTGTTAGCACACATTTATGGTACGAACACGCAGACTCAGAACAACTTCTGAATCACACAAAGTGTCAACAGTACAGTAGGAAGCGGCAAGGCAAGCGGCAAACTACGCCATCCATGCAGTCAGATTGTCAGAGAGTCGGTTGTATCGGTTTTTTGAGCGATTCTGAACTAATGTTCACACACTGCCGTCTGATCGCAAACTAGGCAGAGCTTGTACTATGTTAACTAAATAGAACAACAGGACCGTTAAATAGATTTATTATTGGTGAATATTCCTTCTTGAGCAATCTTCTCCTGCAGAAATGTTTACATTTTATCGTTATAAAAATCCTGAAATACTATTATATTACTCAAATCAAACACGTTATATAATAACAAAGATTTAAAATATTCCTGCTGGATTAATTATAAAAATTCTTACTTGTTTACGGTTACCCTGAAAGAAACAAAGATTATCCATTGCCTACCGCAAGAAAAGCTTTGTTGTCACAATCAATTATTGATAATCGGCTTACTCAATCTTCTTAAAAGTTACAGAAGCGTGACTGGAGGCCGGCGCAAGTCATTGAAGTCAGATTATAATGCCTTTACAAGTCCATTCATAGTATTAAATCAGCTCAACTTTGCGACCGTTAAATCTTCGGCAGTAAACTACCTAAAGCCATCTTCTTGTATCACTAATTTTAAAGCTTGTATTTAGGGAAACAAGTGCTTAGCGTGAAGTTGAAGAGTCATGCTTCGGCACAATTGAACTACCTTGAACGAGGTTGCAAAAAACCGGGTGTACTAAAAAACCGATTTTACTAATTCTCTCGTTGCTTTTCAACTAGTGAGTGACGTCACCGGTGCCCCGGAGAGAGTTCCTCTCACCCTAACTATATGGACACTCAGAGAGGCAGCGAACTTGTGACTCTTGAAGGTTATCATAGGCGGAAGAAACCACTTACTGTCACGTGACCCGCCTGCTCACTGGCCCCCATACCGTAAAAAAATACACCCTTTGGCATCATTTTATTTAAAACAACCTGTTACAATGAGCTACCTGCGTGTCTTCTTTATTAGAACTTTGTAATTCAGCAAAAAATAGTGAAAGGTCAAGGCTTTCCTTGTCAATTTTGTAACTCGAGTTCTTTTCCACACAGTATTTTCCTAAAGGCATTAGCTATATGTTCCAAACGTTGCCATTAAAAAAATGAAAATGTGTGTAAAAAAACACATTAAATCCAATTATGTTGATGAAACAGAATGATTCTTAAGAGTTTAGCAATTCAAATTTAAAATAAGAATAGCGAATGCTTTAATTGATTGTAAGGTGCGGACATCTAGAACAAAATCTAAAAGCTTTCAATTCAATAACCTACGTGTAACACGGCCTCAAAGAGCTATCTGTTGGGATAGAATCCTCATGAATCTTTAACGCTCTCCAAACCGTACAACACGAGTGACGACGTATCCGGTTTACAATATCAGGCGACCGGTCTCCAAGTATTCTTGCACAAACGATTTCGAAATTGAATTGTAGATATGTGAAATTGGCAGTTCAATTTGTTTAGGAGGTTCTCAAGGCAAAGTTTAGTGTAGTAATAGAATATGTGCATCGGATCAATTTCCATATTATCTATCATCTGAGTAATTTCAACTGAATAGTGCTGCGGCGACATATCGATAGACAATCCTGTTTGAGTTCTTAGTTTTTAACTGGAATTCTCTTATTGTAATAATAATAATAGTATAACAATATATTTATTTATTTCTCCTTACAAAAAGTACAGCATTTCAATAGCAATCTTCTAATTTACATAAAGTGACGCAATTAGTGACGTAATTTACATAAACTCCTATATAGTTTGCTTCATGCATACATTTTTGTGAGGAGCCGTATAGACAAATAATTATGTGATGAGCGTTCATTTTTTCTGTGTCTGGGTGTAATTTATCTGTCTGTTGTAAAAATAGACGTTTTGTATTGTATATTTTCATTGAAATTAATAATGATAACATCACACATCTCACACACGGCCGTCTGATCCCGAACTAGCCAGAGCTTGTACTGCTGTGCTATTATAACCAGTCTGCCGAAAAATACTAATATATTTCTAAATACACACATATTACAGTTAAATACCACCCAAACACAGAAAAAATCATCACATAATTATTTGTCCTGGGAATCGAACCCACGACCTCTGGTTGAGCACTCAGGATTACTAACCACTAAAGCAACAAGCCCCTTTTTTTTTTTTTTTTTTTTTTTTTTTCCGTGCGGAAATCCCCTCGGATACCACCTGTCGGTGGCATGTCGGACCCGAACCGACTAAAACCGCACGCCTTCGCCGGGTACTAATAGCCGGGGAACCAGGTATACCCTAGAAAGGAAGGCCCTGGTGCCCCGACTTACCTCGGGTCATCTACAGACGAGTAGACGACCCCCGCCCCGTGTGGGAACCCCATGTTCCCTGTGCTCCCTGGAAGCGAGCGCGCTTCGCAACGCGCTCGCCGCCACCCCGGCCTGCTTCTGCTAGGGTGACAGATGGCCTCACCTGTCACCCCCAGGCCTGCGCTTATGGAGGACGGAGGTCGTTCTGCGACCTCCGGCGCCTGAGTCGCCTGCGCTGCCTGGCCCGTGCCCGGGCCTGGCGGGCCGGGAGAGTTCTAAACCTCTCCCGGTCCCGCTCCGCCGTCTCCTTCGCGAGCATAACTTGCTCGCAGAAGGAGACGGCAGAGTTCCACGCACTCTCGCTCCGCACGATAGCCGCAATCAGGCTATCGAGCGAGAGAACTCCCACTCCGATGGCCGCCACGAGGTCTCGCCTCTGCTCAACCCACGCCGGGCACTCTGCCAGCGTGTGGAGAGCCGTGTCCACGGTCTGGCCATCGCAGTGGTGGCACTCAGGCGTTGGCTCCTTGCGGATCAGACACAGGTGATCTCCGAAACATCCCTTCCCAGTGATCACCTGCGTCAATCGGTATGAGAGGGTCCCGTGACGCCTCTCGAGCCAATCCTCCATAACGGGTCTTACCGCAGCAACAAGCCCCTCAAATGATTCAAACGTCTTATATCTCGTTTCTTCTTTACAGAATAGGTATTCACCTGAAATAGGTCACCTGATTCACGAGGAACGTATTTTCTCTGTTCCAATTCCTAGCTATTATAACAAACATTTACACGCTGTACCACCTGATGCTAACTAACAGCTAAAACTAACTACCAAATAAAATATTAACTAACAGATAAAATAGTTTACCTAGGAGGATGGGATTTGTATCGTTTATTTATTTTATTTAATGACTATTTATGTAGTGGTAGTATATGGGACTGCTGTACTGAGGTCTCGAGTTTGATTCCCGCGTGGGACCGAATGTTTGTATGAACTGCAAATATTTCTTTCAGAGTTTGGGTGTTTTCTATGTATAATATGCATGTATTTACAAAAAAAGGAAATAAGTATTCTATCAGTCCATCTAACTTTCATAGTACAAGCTCTGCTTAGTTTGAAACTAGTTGTCGTTGTGTGTCAGTTGTGCGAAAATAATCATTTTTTACTTTATTTTATTTAACACACTATATTTCTCTGAAATTGAGGCGTTTTTAATTAATAAAACTGTTTGAGATTCAGTCATGTGTATGAGAAATTAGTTAATTAAATCATAGGAGACACTCTCGGAAGAATATACGAATATAATAAGAATACGGAGTGTCACCACCCCTTTCATCCCGTGGGTGTCGTAAGAGCCGACTAAGGGAGCAAACTACGCAGGACAACAGCATTGCAAAGAGAAGCAAACCCTATACCAACCCGTCTGGCCAGCGTGGTATCGTCGGCCAAAACCTCCTTTCTAAGGAGAGGCCTATGTCCAACAGTGGACTATTAAAGGCTGTTGATGACGATGATGTCGATGAACTCAAACCTGAGGCCCAAGTGCGAGTTTATTTTACATCTACTCGCTCGTCACGGTGACCGCGTTCGGAGCTACGATTGGCCCGCACTGAAATCTCCACCAATCGCAACCCTAAACGCGTTCGCCATCGAGATGATGATGGCAAAGGCGAGTCGATTTGAAATAAATTTGCACTCGGCCCTCTGTACATTTATATTTTAACAGGCATTTTTGGCGATGAATAGAATAGATACATTTCTGCTGTCTGATTTACGCGAATAATCGGATGACGTCTGTACTGATGGAATTTCGTTTGTAGAAAGTAATAAATAATATTATTGACTTGAAATTCATGGCCCTATGGCCTCTTTTATCGTCACACACAGACAGACACACAGACTTGTTATATCAGTATCTTAATTAACCTTATGCCATCGAACTCACTTGTACTTACATTCCACTATTTAATTTAATTTGACCTGACCGGTTTCACCTTATGGCATTTGATATATATTACAACAAGTTACATCAAGTGCCGACAATCGAGAGTATAAATTAATTGACCTTCTCCCTTCGTTCCGTCTACAAAACGATTACATTTAAGGGCTTAAAAGGTCTTAAAAGAATCAATAAAACCCTTTTGCAAATGTCATAAATTGTACCAACTCCAAATCAAATTTGGAATAAGGCTGGAATATAATGATTAATACGAAATTGGAAAGAATTAACACTGACCTTTTTTTTTCTTTGTAATTATATATTTGTTTTTTTTTTGTAATTATATATTTGTTTTTTTTTCTTTGTAATTAAATTATATATACTTTAAAGATAAACAAATGATGTTAAAGGGTCAAATATTTGTAGGACGACTTCAAACATTTGACCTATTCAAAGGACTGACACTAAAAACGACATTAAAATCCTGTTCGCAATTTAATACAAAGAAACTGTGTAACGTACACATAAAAAGAATATATTTAAAAACCTGTTCCTATTTTGACGTCTGGTTCTAACAAAAGTTAGACCCGTTATGCGTTTTCCGGTTTCAGAGTCCAGTCATATAAGGGGTGTCACCAAAGAACGAGAGATAATAAGTTGTAAGCTCGTATAAAACCTTATGTTAAAATAGGTAAGTATTTTAAATATATAAATAAAATTAAGTAAAGATACCCTAACTACATCGAAACTTTTTTCAGTTTTGAGTCATAAATAAATAATTCCAAAAACAGTATTTCTACAGTACTTTGATATCACCAAGTACTTGGGTTGTGGAGTACTGATGACAGTCGCTCCGCGTAGAAAATCAAAGTTCAGCCGTATCATAGCAGACTTAAAGTCGACCCCAACAACCTAGTTTGGGATAAAGGCTAGGAAGATTTTTTTAAATACATAAATAATATTCCTAAAACTGCCATGGTGAGTCGGAGAGAGTCGCAATGTTTTTAATACTTTTAATAGAATCTTTGTGTAGAAGCTTGACAAAATTATTGGAAAGCTTGGAAGTGCTATTCAAATTTTAATACTTTTCTAAGTTCTTGAAGCTTTGGGTAATTTATACGTTGCATATTGAGCTTTCTAAGGAGATGCCTAAGTTCAGCAGTGGACTATTAAAGGCTGTTAATTATGATATTGAGCTTGTTTCAAATTCCAAAATTCAAATTTATAGTAAAATAATAAATTGACTTGATAACATGAATACTGTGGAGTACCAGTTATACAAGTACTTAACTTACTACAACATACTACTCTCTTTTATGTTAATAATAAATTATAGTTTGAAAAAACTAAAAAAAAAACACGCTATCATAACTATCCCAACTAAAAAGTACAAAATGATTTTCTATAAGTTCAAAAAGAAAATTCAATTTCAAAGAAATTGGTAAAAGTAAAGTTATTAGATTATAAATTACCTTTATAAAGCGCCCCACGTTTACGATAAAATTATCTTTCTTTACGAACTTAAAGAAAATTATTTCCTACTTTTTAGTCCTATCATATAATTTCTTGAAAAAAGAAACAGTTCAAAACTTTTTTATTGAAACTGGTTATACATTATTCTTACACAGCTTTAATAATTCTGATAGCTGTTCTCAAGTGATGGTCTTGGCAATAAACAGTATTACATTTTTATCTGAATTAACGACTAGAGTACGTACCATGATGCCTTTGAGCTGATTCACCAGCGGCGAATCAGCGAAGAAGTTGTTCACCGCGGAGAATATGTTTGTTCGTTTGTTCGTCTTGCGCAGCAGGCGCTCCCACGCCCGCCCAGCCCACGCTGAAACAAATAAACACACAATGTTATGGCTGCACATGTGTTACTCAATTACTTTGTGTGCCGGACTGGGAAAATTGCTACATAATTGAATTCGTAAAATATCCTTTAGGATACCGAAAATTTAGATTAAAAATATCCCTAGTTAATTTCTAAAATATATAACAGGTTATTTAATAGAGTAAATACCTACTCTATTATATAACCTGTTATATATATATAAAACTTTTAAAAAATTACACTCGTTGTTGTCTACAGGTCGTTCAATATTTATCATTGGAGAAACAATCTTTATAAATATTTTTTCACCATAACATAGTATGACGCAACCCACAATTTTCTTTTTGTTAAATATATATTATAAATGTGATAGTCGAAGATCAGTTGTCAGTTACTCAATCACGGTTGAACAGAATTGATGAAAGGTACAGAGATAAAGTATAGTCTGAAATAGGACAAAGGTTATTTTTCTCAGACAAATTTATTGAGAATATTGCGTGGAAATTAAGGCCAAAACCTATATAGTGATGTGTATGTGTTGTGTAATTAATAAAGATAAAGTGGAACTATTCCAGAGACAAGTTAAGTTTCTAGTGAGTATCTCAGAGAAAACATACTTCGATACGTTGTCTTGTAAAGGTAAATCGTGTGTGTGTAAGTTTCCATATGTTGTGAACTGTGTATATTTGCATATGTAACCTCTGAGCACTTACCTTACAAGATTTCTATACCACCCAAACGTTGACTGAAAGAGGATGTCGGCCAACGTACATAAGTGCATAAAGTTAAAAATAAATGTTTAAAATCTGGCAAGAATGAGAAGATAGCCAACGTATAGCTGACTTCAAAAAGGAGGAGGTTGTCACTTACACTACATATTTTTATGCCTGCCTGAAACAGGTCTGAAACCTCATTATATTCAATCTTGTACATTTTAGAATAGTTATGTTGTAGTTAGCTTTAGTAACAAACTTTATATAAGAATCTATTGACAATAACATCAAAATCATATACAAAATGTAACCAAGACTTTATTCCGATTCAGCAATTTTTTGTTTTTTTTTTAATATATATTACGTTATAACGGCATTTGTACACAGATTGCTAGAATTTTTTTAGTATTTAACAGGATGTGTTCAAGTTCGAATTGATGTTGAATTTGTCGTAAAACAATGATATTAAAATAATAATGATACTCTACCACATTCACACAACGCCCATCTAACGTCCCAAACTAAGCAGAGCTTGTACTATGGGTACTAGACAGCTGACATAAATACAAATCTTTTTTTTTTTGGAAATACATACATAATTGCAAGCGGCGGTAACCTAGTGGTTAAGGCGTTGGACTTGAGATCAAGAGGTCGTGGTTCAAATCCTGACCTGCACACTACCGACGTGAACCTACTCCCAACACAAGCAATATAGCTTAGCGGGAGGGGTTTACGGGAATACTAGTAATTTAGGGTGCTAGTAGACCTTTCAAAAAAAAAAGATACATTAAAACACTCAAACCAAATCAAACATTAAATGTTCTTGCACACAAATGTTTGACTTCAGCGGGAATCGAACCCACGTCCGTTACACAAACCACTACGCTATCCAGCCGTCAAAATGCTGAATTGTCTTTCATGTTTATGTTCGTATCATGCAATAATATTATCAAAAAATGTCATCTCTGTAAATAACAGTTTTAAAGAATCGTAAATCATACATTGTTTATAAGTTCTCAAGGATATTTTTGCGAATATAAATTCAGAATTAAATTATAAATATTTTAACTCATAACTAATTAAAAATTAATTTTAAAACGGATCTTAGGAAATTTACAAGCAATAAGTTTGTTTTTGTATGTGGGTTTGTGGTGTTATCTTTAGATGTCCAACTTTTAAATAGAATAAATAGTGATTGTCTTAAGTGTAATTAAAATAATTCTTAAACGTATTCTTAATTTTGCCAAAGGGTACACGAAAAAATTTAGCTCTTGAAACAAGCAAACCCGTTGCATTTTAGTGGTTGCACTGGTTTTGCGGTACAGCGAGTAAACAAACGCGAAGTATGAAATTTATCAATCTTTTTATTCATCTAATTCTGAGCCTTAGCACATAACAGCATTATATAAAACACTTTTATCCCGAAAATAAAAAGACATATACACCTTATTGTAGGTGCGTATTTTCTTTACGGTTATACATATACGGTCTAAGAACATAACGGTGAACAGATAATAATAAAATACGACTATTAAATGTATATTTTCATCAATTTATCAACACATCTAGCACGCGGTTATAATTTTTTATGATATAAGGGCAAACTAATAGACTGGTCACGGGCCAAGTGCGAGTTTGTTTCACACTAGCTGGTGCCCGCGACTTCTTTCGCGTGGAATTTGAAAAGCGCTGCCCTAGTGGTTTTGATGCCCGGACCGGGCAACATTTTAAAGGGTTTTTTGAGAGGAAAAATAGCGTAAGTTACTCCTTATATAGATAGCTACGTGGTAGTAAAATATTATCAAAATCAGTAGAGCCGTTTAGAAGATTACCCGGCATAAACTGACAGACAGACAGACAGACAAAAAAAGCTTTTTAGGCATAGGTATCGTGCAAATAACCGTGTGAGCATGAAAAATGAGCATTACAAACAGGCACTTCAATTTTATTTATTTATATAGATAAACTTGCTCTCGACAGCGAGCTCATTCGGTGCTGTGTTTAGTGAATATTTCAGTGCGATCCAAGCGCAGTGCCGAACGCGATTACCGTAACACGATCGAGTAGATGTGAAATAAACACGCACTTGGTCCTCTGGTGGTAAGTGACTATCACCGCCAAATATCAGGTTACTCGAGAGACACAAATGCGTTACCCCCATTTGAGCCGCATCGGTTTAGTGTCTGCGTTGATGAATCAGTCAGTCGGAGCAAGTATTTTATTTGTATAGATATTACAAATACTGTAAATGCAAGAGCCAGTAACTAAAATTATGCTATCGTACACCACTTTCGGCATCGACAGCTTTAACTAGTCCACTGCTGGACATAGGCCTCTCCTTAGATAGGAGGTTTGGCCACGCTGGCCAGAAGGGTTGGTGTAGGGTTTGTTTCAAGTTTTCCTTCTCTTTGCAGTGTTGTTGTCCTGCATAGTTTGCTCTCTTGGTCGGCTCTTACGACACCTACGGGATGAATAGGGTGGTGACACTCGGTATTATTAATCCGTCACCACACGGAATATATCATGTGTCTTTACAAACATTTATTCAAAGGTACACAAGGAACACCCAGACTAAGAACAACAACTTGTAGACAACACAAAGTGTTGTCCCTTGTGGGGATCGAACCCACAATACTCAGCGCAGTAGGAAGCGGCGAGGTGACCGCTCAAGAATTGCTCAACACTGGTTTTCTTTGGGGCCGTGGTATAGCTGCGGTCAATGCGTCCCATAAGTGACAAGACATGGCTCTCTTGTTGTATCCATATGAATAAATAGGAGTAAGATTTGTTAATAAACATCTCCCCTAAAAGATTTAATTTAGTACTTAAGACAAATATAGCTAGAGTGAATGTCCTCCCCATCTTAATAGTGGGAGCTTAAGGTCCTCAGAACTTGTTAATTCCCAAACCAGACACAGCTGTGCATCACAGTAATTGAATAAGTTTAAGAGTCTTATAAAGCAGATACACAAAAGCGTAGTAGTGTAATTTTTCGTTTACAAATAACGTTGTGTTTAATTCTTTACATTTTAACACACCCTGAATGTGTAACGTAATTTAAAGATGGCCCTTTATAAACTATTTAGAAAAACAAATTTATATTAGGAGTACAGGAGCGGCTTCTTAGAGGCTTTTAAATTTAATATATACAACTGTGGTAGCAAAAAATTAAATAGTAGTTACCGTTGCACATAAACAATCGCCACTCGCGCTCCACACACAAAAGATTCACAGATATATATGAGTAGCCCTGGTGGAAATTGGTCACTTCACACAGTCACTTTAATACGTCAGTCCGTCGAATTTTCATCACTAGTTCTGACATTTACGTTTCTAAAATCCAGAGCACACAACGAACGAACGAAGACGCACAGATTTTCAATGGTAAAAAAACACTGATGACGTGTATACCTCACTCACTGAAGAAGTTCCACCTTTAATTAGTATCGGTGACACGTAAGTGTAGTAAAGACATTCTCAATCGGTCTTTTTATTTTAACATTCTGAGTTTTCGAGCTCAAATAAATAAAACATAGTCAATGAACACGTCATGAACTTCTAGTGCAAATAAAACTGGTTAAATCCACCCAAAACATAGTTACAATTTAATCAAATATTTAGTAGCAATTAACGTCTTTCCAAACTTCTTCAGGTCTTCTAAGATATTATCAACGAAATGAAGAATTGGTTAGACGTTGAACGAAACGCCAACTGTAACTTTATTTAAGCGCTAACTTTATTTTCGTGAAATTAGACGAATCCGTGTTTTAGAACCCACAGCTAATTCTGAACTTAGTGCTAGACTGTAGGTATTAAAAATGCAACGAGTCCCATTATTTCACTATAGTTTATCGGTTAGGTATCTAATCACAAATTAAAATCCTTAAAACACAATGTTATCACTGTATCAGACGACTTTAAACCGGAACGTAAGCCAACATTCACCAAAACACTGTGTAGTATTGTTGCACTCTCGTAATTCCATTTCGTGAATTCTAAAAGTAGTAGTGAGCAATGGTCCTTAATAAATCACTATAACTCTATTTCCACCACCAAGGTAGTTGTAAACACGTGTATATATAACTATAGCCAACATAGGATTGAACACGATTTAGTTAAATTGTGGAGGTTTTGTTTATTCTGTGCACACGTGACTGTACGATTGCGATCGTGTCGATCACTCAACGGCAAAATAGAACGGGAACCATCTATTTAGTAAAACTGTTTATTCGTCATTCGTAAACGTTTTGAGGAAAATGGACACACCGTCTGTACTTTCTTAAACGTTTGGATACTTACATCTATAATTATAGGAATAACTAGAAGAAAAATTTCAATATCATAAAACCTAACTGAATTCCTAGTTATATTGTAGTATACAAAATATTTCTTACGTTAAAAATGCCCAAAAATGATTGCTTGGAGAATCGTACCTAATCCTTTTTAAGTCCAATCGTGCCAAGCTTGAACAAATCACTAGCGTAAAATAAAAAATAATTTGCATATTAATTTCATCTAGAACTATTCTAGAATGTCTTATAATCTTTATACTTATTCATATTCA